GCAGGTCGGTTAGAGGGCCGGTTATCCCTGCCAGATTCGGGATAAACCTCCTGACATAATTCACGAACCCCAGAAAACTCTGAAGTTTCGTGATGTTAGTCAGGGACTTGCTTGCTGAAAAAACTCGCACTTAGGGCCTTTGGTGATGAGGCGGTTCTCCTGTAGTCGCTGAAAAATCGCGTCGAGGTCGCAGAGGTGTTGTTCTCTTGTCCTGCTGAAAATCAAAATATCGTCCAAGTAGACGATAACACACTTGTCAAGAAATTCCCTGAAAACTCGGTTCATGGTCAGTTGAAAAGTCGACGGCGCGTTTGTGAGGCCGAACGGCATCACTTGGAATTCGTAGCTTCCGTAGCGGGTGCGGAACGCGGTCTTGTAACAATCTTCTGCGAAGACCCATATCTGGTGGTAACCGCCACGTAAGTCGATTTTCGAGAAATAGCGAGCGCCGCGAAGTTGGTCGAGGAGGTCGCCGGTACGTGGGATTGGGTAGCGAGACTTGATTGTAACTCGGTTGAGCGCGCGATAATCAATACACATGCGAAGCCCACCGTCCTTTTTCGGGGTGAACAGGATCAAGGCCGCGTAGGGAGACATACTGGGTCTGATAAACCCCTTCTCCAACAAGCCATCAAGTTGGCTTCGCAGCTCTTCGAGTTCCGGTTGGGTCAACCGCCACTGTGTACGAACAGTCGGCTACGCGCCATGTTCCATCCGTATTTTGTGGTCCTCGGGTCGTTCGGGTGGCAGTCCAGGTGGCAGGTCGTCGGGGAAGACGTCCGGGTACTGTCGTATCAGCTCTGCTAAATCCGGCGGTACAGCTGCACACAGCTTCTCAATGTCTTGTCCGTCGGTGTCGGTTGCCAACGCGCGTAAGCATACATCGTACAGCTGCGCGCCCCTGTTGAAGTGGCGAGCTATAGTGATAGCTTTGACGCACGGGGCTTGGATGTAGTCAGGTGTCCATGCAGGCAGTTTAACTAGCCCCTCGTGCTTGTTGATGCAGCACGATCCCGTTGTCCAGTCGATGACGGGGTTGTGCCGTCGCAGCCAATCACGTCCCAGCAGCACGTCGCAGCCATCCAGAGTCGTCGCGAAAAACTTCATGATGAAGCCGAAAATGTCGCCGCACTCATTCCTCACCGTCCGTGTTTCTTCCAAAATCGCCAGAGGCGTCCCATCCACGAGGCGAGCGTCAATTTCGGGCAGACACCTGTCAAGTTGCAGCTTGCATTTTTTTGTTGTCGCCAAGTTGAAGAGGCTATGGCTGGCCCCTCCGTCGACGAACATTTTCAGAGTAATTTTTAACACTGTGCCAACGACCATCACAGGGTGATCCACATGATTATCCCCGTTATTCGGCCGAGTGCGATCGATTGCATGAATCGGAACCACTACTCGGTGGGGATGTTGGTGTTCGGGCGACGAAGCATAGTCACTAAGGGGCCCGTAAATTACTGACTCTTCTCATTTCCCTGCTCCCTCCTGTCGTTCCCCTTCGCCGGTGTTTTCTCGGGGCATTCTCTTGCGTAGTGACCCGTCTTCCCACGCTTAAAACACGTCCCTGTAAAGGGGCGGTCCGGTGCGTGGACTCCATTGATTGTGGCCCGTTGGGTCTGTCCACGAAAACGGATTCCCTCCCGGGAACCTGCCCTCGCATACTGCATCAACGCGTCTGTAGACTCAGCTAACCGTATGGCTTCCAGAAACGAAGTCGGGCGGCATCGGCGCACCTCGTACTGTATCTCATATTTCAGGAAGCCGATGTATTTATCTAACCGCTCTGCTTCCGCCATGTCGTCCACTTGGTCAGCAAAGGCCATAAACGACGTCGTGTAGTCTTGAACAGATGCCATATGCGACTAGTTACGCAGCTTCATGCGAGCTTGCTCCGAAGCGGATACGTGCTCGAAGCGATCCCGTAAGGCTGCGCCCCACTCCTTCCACGTGCGTATCTTGGTCACTCCGAAGATTGAGGTTGCCCCTTGATTAGCCGATGTCAAGGTCCCGTCTGCCGCATGTGTCACACCTGTCGGAGTCCCTGTGTCCAAGGTGTGGCGCCACCATTCAAGCGCTGCGCCTCGAAGTAGAGAAACCGCGTAATTAATACGCGTGGCATCGTCGTAGACGTTCGCTGCAGTGAAGAAGACTTAAACGCTGAACAGCCACCCCTTCACTGTAGTCGTATTGTCCGTGGGACTGAACTGGGGCGGGTTCGCTGGTTTAATCTTGATCGTCGTAACTGCAACTTGCGTCGTTGCCGCTCGCTGCCTGTCTTCCTCTTCGAAGCCACGTGTGAGAGCGTCCAAAGGATTGCTCATCGCTTGATTGTTGCCTTCACCTTCTTCATCGGGCGACTCCTGACGCGTTTCACCTCGCGCCTGGCGTAGCTCGGTGTTTTCCACACGTAGTGTTGTCACTTCTGCCAAAAGATTATGCACTGTTGCCTGTAGCTCCTGCATTTGCGCCATCATCTTGTTCAACGCTTCCTGGTCCATGAGTCGCACGCTTCGTCTGGTGGGCAGGGGGGTATCCGTGGCCTTGCAGGCAAGAGGAAAGCAAAAACTATCGGAGTCGGGCAGGTTAGAGTTAACTAACCTTGCAGCCAACCGTTTTGCAGTCCTCTTTACCAAGCCAACCCGTGCCACCAAATTACCCTCGAAAAGCGGGGTGAACTAGGAAAGTAGCTCTGATACCAGGTGTTATGAGTTGTAATGGAGAGTGCGCGGAATAACGAATAACGAAGCTGTGACTTAATGAACTGTCAATTACAATGAAGGCACGCGACTATATAGTGAATACCCTAGCTAGGAGGGAACCTCGGGAAACGAGTTTGGGTGCAGGTTTGGCGACGGAAAGCCGAAGGCGACGCGGAGGAGCCTCGGCATCATTGATGTCGGCCGAACGTGCAAGTCCGAAAATCGGGGTAGTACGCGTAGCAGTCAACCCCGGTAAGGATAAAGGAAAAATCCTTACAAGCAACATATCGAAGCATTCGGTTCAGGTTGCCTGAGGGGTTGCCCGTTACTGTACAGTTCGGCAGATTGTTTCGAGTCGAGGGTAGCGGTGGTGCAGCTTCGGACGTTCTGTTTGGCCAGGTTTGGTCGGTGACCCTCTGATTATCCAGGCCATCCACAATGGGACGGGCAACCCACCGGGTTTCGAAGGTTCACTGGTGCACCGGCTCTGCCTCTGTTTGCACCACGGTTGTGGGGGCACGCACAGGGTGGAACTTCGAAACCCAGTGTACCGGGGCGTGCCAAGGTACAGTACCAATTCCCTCATTTCTTCCTCCTTTTTCCCCCATCAACAAGGCTGGCTCGGATCCCCAAACAACAAAGGCAGCAGAAAATGGCCCTATCGGGCCTCAATCTGGGACACATGTCGACGCCGGAGCCGGCATCTCAACCATTCAAGTTGTCAGAATGAGCCAAACCTGGCAAGCACCGAAGCAAACCTAGGTTGGCTCTGTGCGTGGCCGGGCGGTACCTATGTCATTCGGTTCAGATTCTGATCCTCAGAAACCTGTGACATGAGGAGGAGGCCAGCAGTTTGGAGGGGAGGGTGGGGTGGGGGGAAGCGGGAACGTAAGGGAGTGTGGAAGTCCGCCCGGTGAAAGCAAGGGTGAAAGCGCGTGTTGGAATGGAAGCAATTTTCGGGGGATGGTCCTGATGGAGAAACTTGAGCTGTTTGGTGGGGCGGATGATATGGCGGCGCCAAAATGACAACCCCGTTGACGTTAGAGCAGTGCAGGAGGTGATCTCGCCAAAATGACAGCCCCTTGAGTGTAGAGCACACACGTGTTCGAAGCCCATTTTGCGGGGTCTCTGGCGATTTCGCGGGTAGCCCTTCGAGCCTGGTTGAGAAGGGGTATTTAGTGTAGCGTAAGTGCAAACAATTGATACACTGCAAGTCGTATTCGATTAGGGCGGGTCGCGTTCGATCTCGGTTCATCCGTCGTGGTGCAGGACGATTGCAGACGGTGCACAGAGGTTATCCTGCAACACCGTTTTGCACCGTATTCCAACAAGAGTAACCGCACAGAACGAACGTAGGACGAATGTTCTGGACCTGCCCAGGGCTCAGAAAGATCTCGAAGAGCCACCAAATCGGGTTGGCGTTGCGGGGAAAGGGGGCTGGGGAAGAACTGGACTGACAGGGCAGGGCAGGAAGTATGTCGGCGGCGGCGGCGAGGAGGTAGGACACGGCGAACTCGCGCGTTGTCGCCCGTCGGTCAGGTCCCAGGCCGTGCGCTCGTGAGGCGCGCCAACCAGCCCACCGCCGTGCTGCGGCGCGGCATACAGTAGAAACATGTACTGTACGTTGCTACGTAGCGCAATTCAATCAAACCCGAGGCTTGGGCAAAAACCCTGTTTGCTGTAGCAGAATCGTCTGGGTTCGAACGAAAGTTTGCTCGGTGGAAAGTTTACTGTCCACTGTGTGCTCATCTCCTCTCATCTCCAGTCAAGGTTCTTGCCACCACACATTTCCGTTGCTCTCATTTCCTCTTCGTCTCCAGTCTAGTGCCCATGGCATGAATGAGCCTTGTGGCGGCTGCATCGCCCCCCCGTGCGTGAATGCCGAAGCAAAGCAGCGACCATAGCAAAGTGCGTGAAGGCTAGTCGGAGGAAGGACCGCCAACTCTCTGTCAATCGTTCCATAGCAGAACCTCGAGAATTCTTCCTCTCTTTTCTTCAGTAAGGTATCCGAGGATTTGAATATTCCCAACACGAGAGACGCTAGTAAATAAATCCCCTCAACCATAGCACATCCAAGGGAAAATGCGTGTAGACACACGGAATTCTGATTCGCATCCAACATCGCACGACGACGGCGAAGGCATGGATAGCGCAGACCGGTCGTTCGGGCGCGAAGATCCCGTTAACGAAGAACCCACTAGAGAGGATACAGCAGATTGCGCGAAGGAGCCTACGAAGCGCCGCAGATGGCCGCGACGGAGCCTATTGCGGCGCCTGGGAGTCGCCGTGGATTACGGGCTCATGGCGTTCTTCAGCGTTATAGCTAGATTCGTCGCGAGGCGACCGCTCGCTGTGGTGACAGCGACGGTGGGCGTCGGGTTACTGCTCGGGCTCGGCATGATACGGTTGAAGGTGGTAACCAACGTTGAGGACCTCTACACGCCGCAGGGCAACATTGCTTTCGTGCACCGGGTACGGCACCGCTTGCAAAAGAAATCTACGCTGAACCTTGTAGAGAAAACCTCGCCACAGTGGTTTGCTCGCTTTCCGCACCGTGAATCTGCTCTTGCCTGTGAAACTACTAGCGGGATGTGCTTATAACGAGGCCGAAGCTCGTGGCGCTGCCGCTAAAGCTGTTCACGTTCGTCCATGTGTGCGCGTGCAGGATTACGTGGACAGCGTGTACGGCTACGATCAACTGGACGTGAAGATCTACGTGACGGGCAAGGGCGGCACGACGGGAAATGTGCTCACGAAAGACTCGCTACTCGCGCTGCTAGATGTCTACAACCTCGTTATCAGGTTAGTCGCCATGAGTCGCCACCCTTGTTCGCCACTCCGTGTCCTTACGTTGCTGCTTTTGCCCGCGTGTTCGACGTCCCGCAACCCTTGTTCCCCATCCCCCGCATTCCCCACCCCTCGCATTCCCCATCCTCACACTCCTTCTCCCACGTCTGCCGCCCCTTCCCCCGCTCCCCCTACTCCCCGCCGCCGCGCGCCCGTTACCCGCAGCACGAACGCAACGTTCGACGGCTCGACGTTCAGCTACGATAGCGACCGCATCTGCTACCGGCCGGCCGGCGCGGGCACGCCGTGCCAGGCGGCGAGCGTGCTGGACTCGTGGGACTTCGACCGCGCGCGCATCGAGGCGGACAACGACGTCCTTAAAACGTTCAACCGCCCCTACGTGATGGTGAGAGTCTGTTTTTCCGTCGCTCTGTTGCCAGCGGGGCTTGTCTGGGCTGGGGTTTTTTAGACTGGGCCTTGTCTCACTAGTCGCCGCTGCGCGCTGGTGAAATTCCGTCATCGTTTCCTTCCCCCACCCTCCCGCTGTATTTTTTTCCCGTCGATCCCCATTCCGTCCATCGCCCTCTTCATTGCGCCACGCAGACGCGGTTCGGGCAGCCCGTGCCGCAGGAATGGGTGATCGGGCAGATGCAGCACGACAACGCGACGGGCAAGGTCACATCGGCGAACGCGCTCCTGCTCACGCTCTACCTACAGAACCACAAGCCGGGCCGCGGGAGCAAGGACGTCGATAAGTACGTCGAGGCGTGGCAGAAGGCCGTGACGCCCGTCGTTAAGACGTACTCTAACCCGAATGTGGACGTCTTTATTCTCTCGCCGTGGGAGCAGCAAGCCGCGGCGGATAGCGCGCTTACAACGGATCTGTTCTTACAGGGCGTTAGCGCGGTGCTCCTTGTCGGGTACAGCAAGCTGATTCTGCACAAGCCGCATCCCGTATACTCCCAGTCGCACCTATCCTTCGCGAATTTCATCTCCGTAGGTCTCGCGGTGCTCGGATCGTACGGCCTGTGTTCGCTCTTCGGATTAGGGTTCTCGCTGGTTACACAATCGCTCGCGCTGCTGCTGCTAGGCCTAGGGACTGACGATATGCTAGTGACTCTCGCCGCGCACGACGAAACGAGGAAGGAGATGGCGGGCTCGTCGATTTCGGACCGCATCGTCGTGACCGTGGCGCGCGCGCGGCGCGGGGTGATCGTCGCCGCGGCGACGAATTTCGTCGCATTCTGCACGGGAATCTCGTCGCAGCTGCCGGCGTTGCGAGACTTTATGATATACGCGGCGGTCGGCGTGATCCTCGTCTTTATCTACCAGACCACGTTCTTCGTTGCGTGTCTCACGCTAGACCTGTTCCGCCAGCGGGAAAACCGCATGGATGTGTTCTGCTGCGTCGTCAGCACGGCCGGTCCGAACGACGGCTGCTGCCGACGCGAGTACGACCCGGATAAGCCGGACTTTCTCCACACGGTATTCGGAGCGTACGTCCCCAAAGTTATTCTGCATCCGGTGGGGAAGATTGTCGTGTTGCTGCTTACTGCGGGGTTGCTCGCGTGGGGAGTGTACGGCGCGGTGCACGTGCGCAACGACTTTAACATGGAGTGGCTGGTGCCTAAAAACGCGTACGTTTTCAAGGTGTTCGATGTGCGCCGCGCGACGTTCCCGCGATCCTCGGGGAAAGGCGCGCTCCCCGTGTACGCGTTCACGCGCAACCCTGGAATTAACGGCGGCGGAATCGGCGGAAGCGGCGCAAGCGCCGGAGAAGCCCCGCTGGACTACTTCAACAACCAGGACGAGCTCGCGGCGCTCGGCGCCGCACTGCAGGTGCGCGGAGTGGGGAATGGTTGGGTGGGGAATGGGGAGGTTTAAATGGGGGGTGGGGGGAAGAAGGAGAGAGGGAAATGGCAAGGGGGAAACGTGGGCGAGGGGAATGGGGAGGGTGGGGAGATGCGGTAGGGGGGCAAGGGACAAGGGCAGTGATGCTTACGGTTAGGCTTCCAGAATCCAGGGGAGGCAGGGTTGGGTTGGGCTGTGTGGGGTTTAGAGCAGTCATTGTGGTTTTGCCCGCCATGCATGCCAGTGCCTTTCCTCCCCTCCCTGCTTCCGCCTTTCACATTGCCAGTAACATTCTCCTCCCCGCGCATTGCCCGACTTGTATCCCGCATTCCTATCCCTCATCCCTATCCCTCGTCGCGCGCATCCCCCTCCTCCTCGTGCCACGTGTCTTCCCCAGAGCGACCCGTACGTGGGCTCGGCGCCGCCCGTGCAGTCGTGGTACGACTGGTACATCAAGTGGCTGCGCGCGTCCCCGCACAAGGGCCAGCTCACCCCACAGGGCCGGTGCGTCTGCTGTGCCTTGCTTTCCGTGTTTCCTGTGTTTTCTGCACCTGCTAACCCTCCCCACGTCAGCGTGCTTCTACAAGTGGCTACACGAGTTCCGCCTCCCCTCAAATCCTCCCCACTCCCCCACTATCCCCCCCCCCCCCCCACACCCTCCGCCAGCCCCCCAACGTCAGCGCTGTTCTACGAGTGGCTGCACGAGTTCCTGGCGTCGCTGATGGGGCGGCGGTTCCAGACGGACGTGGTGTTTGCACCGGGCAGCAATGGCACCGTCATCCTCTCGTCCCGCATGTTCGCCCTCACCAACGCTCTCGTGTACAGCCAAACACAGGTGAGGGGGGGGAACGGGGGAGGGGGCTGGGGGCTGGGGAAGGGAAAGGGGTTGGGGGAGGGGTGCAAGAAGTGGTTCCAGACGGACGTGTGTTTGCACCCGGGGACCAGCAGCAACGGCACCGTCATCCTCTCGTCCCGCATGTTCGCCCTCACCAACGCACTTGTCTACAGCCAGACGCAGGTGAGGGGGGCGTGGGAGGTGTGTGAAAGGGGGGGAGGGGGCGGGGGGGTGGGGAAGGGAAAGGGGAAGGGAAAGGGGAGTAGAAAGTGGTTCCAGACGGACGTGGTGTTTGCACCCACGGACCAGCAGCAGCAACGGCACTGTCATCCTCTCCTCCCGTATGTTCGCCCTCACCAACGCTCTCGTGTACAGCCAAACACAGGTGCGGGGAGCAGAGGGGGAGGGGGAGGGGGGTGGAGAGAAGGGGGGAAGAGGCTGGGTGGGGATGCAGAGTGGGAGGTGGGTGAGGGAGGGGGAGCGGGGAAGGGGACGGGGGATGGGGGAATGGTAGGGGAATGGGAGGGAAATGGGAGGGGAATGGGTGTGGAAGTCTTCTCATGAATGGTTGAATGAGAGGGGGGTGCAGGGTGGGAACGGTGGCCCTTACCAGGTAGACAGACAGGATGGTGACTTCACGCCCCTTGAAATTCCCTTCTCCTTTCCGTTCTTCCTCCCTCCTTCACCCCATCACCCAGGTTGACGCGATGGTGTCAACAAGGCAGACGGTTTCGGCAGCAGCGCCGTCCCTGCAGTCGTTTGCCTACTCCTACTTCTTCATATTCTTTGAGGGCTATGCCGTGCTGCAGCACGACACAGTCCTGGCTGTCGCTATCGCTGGAGCGGTGGTGTTTGTCATCATGCTGCTCGTGCTCGCTGACCTCACGTGCAGGTACGCTTTCTATCATGTGTGAGTGCATGCATGCTCATTCTCATGCCCATGCATGTGCGCGCACTCGCTGTCGGTATCGCTGACGCCGTGGTGTTTGTCATCATGCTGCTCGTGCTCGCTGACCTCACGTGCAGGTACGCTTGCTCTCTCATGCATGCATCCATGCCTGCATGCCTGCACACGCATTCACGCTTACACTATCATGCTGCACGCTCGCTCACACCCCCACACTCTCACTCCCTCTGCATTGCTGCACGGGCATTCCGGCATCACAGCGCTGCTCTCTGTCGCCACATGGCTCTCTTTCATCCCAACGACGCCAATCTCTTCCCTCCACCCCCCCTTCCCTTTCTCTCTCCTCCCCCCCCCACCCCCCCTCTCCCCCTCTCCAGCATCCTGGTAGCAGCAATGGTGGCATTCATAGGGTTAGAGCTCGTGGGATTCCTGTATTGGTCGGGCATGGGGTTCAACTCGGTCACCTCCATCACCGTGCTGCTCTCTGTCGGCATTGTTGTCGACTACTCCGCCTTCATCGCCTTCTCCTTCCTCTCCCAGGTACGACACTGCTTGCTTGCTTCTTGCTGCTGCTGTGCTGCTGTGTTGCACTTTGCATGTGTGTGCAGTTAGGTAAAAAAAGAGGAAAGCCACTGTTCTCAACTCCTCGCTCTCACTCAACCCTCATTCCCCCTCGCCCCTACTCCCTCCCCACCCCCCTTCAGGTTGGCTTGCGCAATGAAAGAGCACGCAAGGCGCTAGCCCATCTGGGGGTAGCGGTGTTCAACGGGGGATTCTTCATGTTCCTGGCGGTGCTGCCCATGTGCCTGGCGGTGCTGCCCATGTGCCTGGCGCAGTCCTTTGTCTTCCAGTTTCTCTCTGCTCCAAAACTCCCTATTAACCGCCATTCTTCCCTTTCCCACTCATTCCCCCCTCGTCCACACCCCCCCTCACTCTCACCTCCTTCCAGGTCGGCACGCGCAATGAAAGAGCACGCAATGCCCTAGCCCATCTGGGAGTAGCGGTGTTCAACGGGGGATTCTTCATGTTTCTGGCGGTGCTGCCCATGTGCCTGGCGCAGTCCTTTGTCTTCCAGTCCTTCTTCAAGATGTTTGCCATGATCGTCTCCCTCGGCCTCTGGCACGGCCTCTCCTGCTCCAACACTCCCTTCCAACCAACTCTCTTCCGCCCCTCCCCCTCCCCGTGCCCCTCGTTCTCTCGCCGTCCACACCCCCTCTCCGCCCCACTCCCCCTCTCCGCCTCACTCCCCCTCAGGTCGGCTCGCGCAATGAACGGGCACGCAAGGCGCTAGCCCATCTCGGGGTGGCGGTGTTCAACGGCGGATTCTTCATGTTCCTGGCGGTGCTGCCCATGTGCCTGGCGCAGTCCTTTGTCTTCCAGTCCTTCTTCAAGATGTTTGCCATGATCGTCTCCCTCGGCCTCTGGCACGGCCTCTTTGCCCTCCCGGTTATCCTCTCCCTCGTCGGTCCCCGGCCGTTTGACACCACTGTGGAGAGGTTGAAAGAGCAGGAGGAGGGAGGAGGGAAGGGAGGTTTTGATGGGGAGGTGCTTGGAGGGCGAGGGGAGGACGAGGAGGGGATGGGAGGGGAAGAGGGGAGGATGGAGGAGGGGAGGGGGACGAGTAAGGTGGAGGAGGAGGGGTGTGAGAAGGGACGGTGCAGTGGGGTTGAGTGTGATGAGGGTAGCAGCAGTGGCGGTTCTGTGGAGAATGGGAGTGACAGTGACGGGTTGGGGGGACTGGGAATGGACAGGGAGAGGAATGGGAGTGGCAGCACGAGTGTGAGTGGGGGAGGGAGCGGCAGTGATGGGAGCAGCGAGGGCAGCGGGGAGTGCAGCACGGAACTACAGGCTCCAGTTCCCCAGCAGTTTCATGTTTAAGACACCTCGGGATTCTCACAGGGGAGGGAGTGGCAGTGATGGGAGCAGTGAGGGCAGTGTGGAGTGCAGTACGGACCTGCAGGCTCCAGTGCCTCAGCAGTTTCACCACGTTTGAGGCCTATGCCTCAGCTCAGACAGAGCGCAATATTCTGTGGCGTGGGAAGGGGCGTGAAAGGATAGCGGATGTCTGTTGGTATTGTTACAGCAAGGGAGAATGGAGGACGGAGGATGGAGGGGAGAGATGGGTGGAGCGGAGGAGCATTGAGAAGACGGACTGTGCTGCTGCGTCAAGTTTTGTGTGTTGAGTTGAGAGTGTGTTTGGCTCGTGCACACATGTGTGTGTGTGTGTGTGAGTGTGCATGGAGCCAGGGTGTATAATCACATTCTGGTTAGTCGGTACCTGAGCTTGGTGCCCCAGAATGTGATTATGCAGCCAGTTTACTGTAGGTGGCTAGCTTTGTGTGTCTCATTTCTCTTTCTCTCGACAATTGTCACCGCGTGTGACGCCTTAAATGATACAGTATTACCGGAAGGGCCACTTGCTTATATTTACTAAGCTGAACGGATCACTGTGAAATACATTCTGATCTGAGACTACTACAGGTAGTCAGCTCAACAGCATGTTGCTTGGTGCACCAGCAGCAGGCTCATATGGTAACCAGAATCTGTCAGAGAGGGGCAAAGGGAAAGACCAGGCACAGTGAAGTGAATATGGTAGCAGTGTGAGTGAGTGAGCTCCGTGTCTGGATAGATACGGTACTGTTTATGATATATATACCGTACTCAGAATATGGTCAGGATGCAGGCAGGCACATGAACGAGAGCGATGGACTGACACCAACCGTAGCTGTTTGCGATTAATCATGTCCTTCCATTCTGAATGATCAAAGCTTCTGTTGACACTCGAACTGCGAAGCACCCGGATGTTTCAATCCAACTAGCCTGAACAGCCGTTTCTGCCTGACACGTTTTTGTTTCACCTGCTAATTGTAAGCACATGGGAAGTTTAATCCCCCTGCCATTCCTGCACGAGGTGCTGGAGCAACCGCTTCTGCCCGATTCTGAAGCGCAGGGCAAGCTCATATGCTGCAGCAGACAGCCCACCCTGACTGCTGTTGCCACTGCTGTCACTGCTGCCACCGCTGGACTCTCTGTTGCTGTCGCCAGTATCAGAACCATCCTTCCACTCACACACCCTATCATCACCTCCTGCCCCGTCACCCCCTCGCTCGCAACAGCCCTGCTTTTCCCTGTCAGTGGCAGCAGCACTACCAGCAGCACCACCTCCCTCGTCCGCTCCCCCTGCTCCCCCTGCTCCCCCTGCTGCAGCAGCGAGCTCTCCCGTAACATCAGCAATGTTACCAGTGACGCGAGCAAGCAGCGCAAGATCATGCTGCAGTGTGGTGGGCAGTGCGAGCAGCATCTCCCTGCATCGCTCCACCAGGGCTATCTGTGCTAGGAACACAGCCGCTGCTGATCCTGCTGCTGCTGCTGACGGGCCTAGTGATGCCTCCTCTGCTGCCGTGCAGCCCCATGCACTGCTGCCCCTGTGCTGCGACACACGAGCAGCAGCTGCAGCAGCATCAGCAGAAGTAGCACCTCCACCACCCCCATCACTCCCCTTTCCAGCTTCACCTCCCACCACACCCCCGCCTCCCATTACCAACCTTTGCACCTCTCGGATCACAGCAGCAAAGGCCGTGAGCGCGCGCCTGCTGCCCTTCCACCTGCGTCCCACCGTGACTGCCTCTGGAGCATCGAAGTTGGCTGTGGAGTCCCGCCCGTCAGCAGGCAGAGAGAAGCCGAGCGGCAGCGGGGGGAAGGGCGCCGTGGCAGCCCAGTTCCTGCCGTCGCTGCCTTCCTGTGGGTCATGTGGGTCCTGTGGGGTGTCCTGATTGCCGTCGCTGCTGTCGCTGCTGCTGCTGCTGCCGTGGTTGTGTTGCTCGTACGCGCCTTCCACCTCTGCTGCTGCCGCCACTGCCAGCCGCAGCATGGCCTCTTCAAACGCCTTGGGAATGGGCATGCACGCACCAGCACCACCGTCAGCACCCGCAGCAGCAACACCACCAGCAGCAGCACTGGCATCAGCAGCATAACCAGCCACAACAGAATCCGGCAACCTCCCTTCCCTCTGCAGGAACCCCAGCAGCCACGCCACCCCATGCCGCAACCCCTGAAACAGCGTCACCGTGTCATGCGGATTCGGCTCCGGCAGAAACGCCTGGAACACACAGAACGCCTCGTTAGGCCCGTTCCAGTAGGTCTCAAACACGGGGTGCCCCTTGGAGACAGGGCGGAGGGAGACGAGCACGGCTCGGTCGGCGTAGACGCCCTCCACCCAGTCCACGTCCCCGTCGTCCCACTCGTCCCTGAAACGATGATTCGCCATGTCTCCAAAGGGTAAGAACATGCTGATGGTGCCGCGGGGGTCGCTGGGAGGAGGGACGGGAAGGGAGGGAGGGAGAGGGTGCAGAAGGGAGAGCAGAGGTGAGGCGTTACTGTGTAGACTGTGGGACTGATGGTCAGGTGCATGGCAAAGGCCCACAGGAAGAGACGGGCAGTATATCCGTCAGTGAAGATTGCACTGTCTTCCTGAATGCAATGCCATGCCATGCCATGTGCATCACCTGTGCTTACCCGGGAGGCACATTCAGGGGATAGTGGCGAGTCATGTAGATGGCAAAGGCCCACAGGAACTCGCCATAGGTGCCTTCTGCTCGAATCTACTCAGCAGTCAGTTCGTGCCTTACCCGGGCGGCAGGTTCAGGTACATAGCAAAAACCCACAGGCACTCGCTGTAACTGCCATTCAAATATTTCGTACTCTACTCACAAGTCACAGTGGCTTACCTGGGAGGCAGGTTGAGGGAGAAGTGTCGGGTGAGCTACATGGCGAAGGCCCACAGGAAGTCGCCGTAGCTGGCTTTTGTTTGGGTCTACACACTGTGGCTTACCTGGGAGGCAGGTTCAGGGAGAAGTGTCGGGTGAGGTACATGGCGAAGGCCCACAGGAAGTCACCGTAGGTGGCGCCACCCAGCACGGCCCTGTCGCTCCTCTCGTATGCATCCCGCATGTATGCCTCCAGCGCTGCTCCCCTCACCACTGCGCTCGGCAGCTGCAGCTCCCATAGTCCCGCTGCCGCTGCTGCCGCCACTGCCTCTGTGCTGCTGCTGCTGCTGCTGGCGCTGGTGCTGTCACTGGTGGTGGTAGTGGTGGTGGTGGTGGTGGTCTTGCGGTGGTGCGGCAAGGGCAGCCAGGGCAGGGGGATGTAGGAGGGGAGGATGGCGGTGAAGGCCGCCCACTCGGACGCGTTGCCCTGGTGGGGCGGGCAGGGGCGGCAGGGCGGAGATTGGAGGAAGATTGGGGGGGGGGGATAAGGGGAGATTGGAAGAAAATGGGGGGGGGAATAAGGGGAGATTGGAAGAAAATGGGGGGGGGAATAAGGGGAGATTGGGGGAAATTGGGCGTGACAGGGGGTAGACCAGGGGGGCGACTGGAGGCTGAGAAAATGGACAGGGAAGGAACGGGGAACAAGGATGAGGTGTAAGCATGAAAAGGATCGAGCTTCTTTTGGAGGGAACATGGCCATGATGGGGCGCACTGTGAAGAACATGGTACTTGAAACCTCCAAAAAATAGCAATCGGTGTAAGCATGAAAAGGATCACTCAGAACGTTTGTGTCTGGTTCACGCCCCTTCTCGCCCCTTCATGTCTCTTCAAGCCCCTCTTGCTTCCTCTCGCCCCATTTCGCTCGCCCCTCCTCGCTCTCCGCGTGTCACCTCCCCCATACCTTCTTTGAGGCTGCTCGTTTTTTTTTTTTTTTTTTTTTTTCCACCCACTTTCTTTCTCACCACCTGAGGGCGTCAAAATTACCTTCCACACCCTCATCTCCCGCGCACCTTTTTCATCTCGCGCAGCAGCTTCGCCATCAGCACCATGTGCATGCCGCACTCCTTGAACGGCTCCGGGTCGCTCTCCTCCGCCACTATGGCGGCTTTAAACGGCACGGATACCACCTCCTCCCCCGCCGCGATGTCCGCGGCCGCCGCCATCCCGCGCTCCCCGCCCTGCGCGCGGCTGATGCGCAGCTTGGCGCGCTGCGGAAGCACCTGGGGGAAGGATCCCGGGGAAAGGAGAGAGGAGGAGGAGGGGGGGAGAAGCGGGGCGGGGAGTGGGAGGGAGGGTTGGGGGAGAGAAGAGGAAGAGTGGGACGGGGCGAAGATTCGACGTGAGAAACGTAAGAGAAGTAGAAGGCGCGTCATATTAGATGGGGAATGGGGCCCGCTGAGGATGAGGAAGGAGATGACCGTTGGGAGGGCCCACCTCTTTGCCGCCCAGCCCGTGTAGCCATTCCAGGAAGCGCAGCTCCTCGCTCGTCTCGTCCTGCGCTTCGCACACGCGACTGGCCGCGGACAGTGCGAGAAGAAACACGCAGAGCGCGTGGACCGGCGACGGGAAGCGGCGGCGGAGCGAAGGCGATCGATTGGAAACGGAGGGAGAACGGGAGACGAGTGTAGAATGGGATGAGGAATCGGAGGAGCCTCGGTCGCTGGAACATGTTGTTTCAGGTGACATTTTCTTGACACTTCTCGAAGGCACGGGTTTCGGATGCTGGAGCGTAGCGGAAGCCATTAGGGCCGGATATCCCTGCTTATGGTGTAGAATGCTAGTTTCTACAATGGCGCACGCATCCTGAGGCGTTGATTTTGTAGAATCTCTGCTGTTATGTCTATCGTCGGCGTCGGCGATGGCTGCTGAGACGCGTGGCTGAAAGCCGAGCAGATCCTTACGATTCTAGCGGTGAGCAATCTACGCTGGGACAAGATCAAGGGTGAACAATGAACAGAGTAGCATTTATGAACATCCTTACCATGGAGAGGCGTGGGGTGTGTAGGGGGGAGAACACAGAAATTGAGAGGGGGCTTCCCCCCTGCCCTGGGTGCACCTGCCCCAGTAACCAGGCGGAAAGCTGAGATGAACCGTCGATTTTCACGCCCAAAACCGCGTGTCAGAACCCATCCTCCAATCAAAGTCGTCTTCTTAGATTGTGTCAGGAGCGACAGGTGCCATCTGTGGCTTTTAACTGAGCCGTGTACACATGCTTACGTCTCTCAATATATCGAGGCATTCCCATCCATATGCTCTTATTTGTTCCTGCATAAGTTTTTTTCCTTGCTGGAAAATACTTGCTGCAATAGTATCCGCATGATTAATTTTCTCCAAGTGTAGTCAATTCTAATTTGAGGCAACTTATTTTCTCATCCAGCTGGAAAAACGCTGCAACCGCTGTCCCATTTCCCCATAACGAGGACGTCACCTTGACCTCGCCGCTCCATGCACCTTCCCTCCCTGTTCATGCGGATATTTTCCATTTCTCCCTCCCCTTCCGTTCTGTCCGTTGCTCTCCATTTCATCGTTGTGCGAATTCGCCATTGAACTCAAGAGTCTAGAACGAACGTGGTAACTGCTGTCTTGGTCGACTGACTCTCCTACCCCTGCTACTTAGCTGTCGGAATCTGGTCATGTAAGAAATAAAGTTACTTTTATAAAAATTGTCCATCCGTTTGGTCACCGATTAGTTGTCGAACAATAAGCTTTTTTTATCCTTTCTCTATGGCTGCTTGACTCGCTCTAAGCGCGTCCCGGAACTCGTAGCTGTTTCGCGGATTAAGTAAGTTGCCGGTTTCCCATTACCTTATCGCGTTCCACTAGCTTTTCGCGTTTCGCACCGTGTTTCGCGTTTCGTATATTTTATTTGGGGTCGTCTGTCCGCTCGTTCACGAGCGGCATGAATGGAGGTGGTGGTGGCGACGCGGGTGGCGTCGACGGGAGCGTGGACGAGGATGTGTTCCGCTTTAAGGTGGCCGCGTTTTTCACGGTCATCGTGGTGTCGCTGGTCGGGGGATTCCTACCGCTGCGAATCAACATGGGGAATGACCAGACGCGGGTTAGTAATGGTCGGGGGATTCCTACCGCTGCGAATCAACATGGGGAATGACCAGACGCGGGTTAGTAATGGCCCGTGGATTCCGGTCCGGATTGGCGCCATTGCTGTTGTTTGTCAGCGGTGCTCTTTGCGCGAGCCCGTCAGTTATAGACCAAGACCACATCTGAACAATAAAAACATTTAAATCAATAAATAGCTATACACTCAAATGTTCATTCTACCATTTGTTCTCATGCTCCTCGTATCCAATGGCCATGAATACTCAATGGGACCCCGTATTTTTCCATTCCCCTGTCAATCCCTCCTCTTTCCAGAAAGGACTCATAGACCACATGCGCTTCCTAACCGCCGGCGTGTTTCTCGGCGTGGGCCTCCTGCACATGCTTCCAGACGCCGTAGAAGGCTTCCAAGCCCTACACTGGTCGCCGCCCTCAGCCTTCAATATAGTCACAAACGCCTGGCGAGATCACCTTCGCCACAGTCCCGGCAACCAGCCACCCCTATCCTCCGGGGATCCCGCCGCAGCAGACGACAGCGATCCGTTCCCCATCCCGTACCTCCTGTGCGCGCTGGGGTTCATTCTAGTGTGGTACGCGGAGCAGCGCTTCTCTTCCGCCGCTTCGCCGTCCCCCTCCCCCCAGGAGATCCAGAAGATGATGGCGGTGGCAGCAGGGGCGGAGTCACTCGGGGGAGGTAGTATCTGCTACGTGCAGGTGCAACCAGTGGCGTCATACGGGCCTGTGCAGTGCCCGTCGCCCACGAGAATCCGCTCTGCTGCTGCTCTGGCGGGCCTTCCGCAGTCTGCCATGCAAGCAGCGATGTATGGAGCTGCGTCTGCGTCCTCGTCCTCCCCACTCGGCCCCTCGGGATTGTCGTCGTCGTTTGCTGGCGGTTCTGCTGCCGGTTCTGTGTCTCCTTACGCGTCTCCTTCCCCCAGTCGGTTTGTTCTGCCACCTTCTGCGTCCCCTGCTGCTGCGCCTGGCGCTCTAGGGCCTGTCTCCTCGCATGCACCCTCACATGGGCCCTCGCATGTGCACTCGCACTTGCCGTCTCATGTGGCTGCGTCGCCGCAGTTAGGGTTGAGAGAGGCGCTGCTGCTGGGAAGGGAGATGGAGAGGGAGAGGGGAGAGAAGCAGAAAGTGGAAGGGATGGGTGTGGCGGTGCTGGGAGGCCGTGGGCATAGAGGAGATTGTGGAAACCAGGGCCATGGAGATGAAAAAGGGCATGGTCACAATCATGGGCATGGGCATGGGTGTGGGCATGGGGAGGGGAGTGAGCATGGCAGTGAAGGTGAACACATGCATGTGCATGAGCATGAGCATGAGCATGAACATCCCCATGAGCATGAGCATGATGAGGAGGACGGGCTGCTGGCACATGCACATGCGCATTCACACTCACATGCGCATGATCACAAGCATGCGCACGCTTCACTTCCCCAGCATGGGCCGCAGCACCCGCAGGTGCATGGGCATGAGGAGCCTGGGGACTGCTGCCACTCCCAAGGCCATGGGGATAGCGTGTGCCATCATACCGACCAGCAGCAGCAGGGGCAGGAGAAGCAGAAGAGGAAGATTCACGAGCATGCGCAAGATCACAGCCACAAGCACGGCAGCAGTAGTTGTCACGGCCATGCCCAGGGGCCGCACGCCCGTTCCGCCCACCACCACGCGCACGAGTGGCAAGACGAGGTGGGCGTGCGGTGGAGAGGGGTGCAGGGCGGCACAGAGGACGACGCCTGTGCGGGTCTGCACCGCCACACGCACACCACGCACCACCACCACATAGTGCTCCCCTCCAGGGGCGGCCTCTCGTACCTGCTCACTGCGCTGCTCTCAATGCACTCGTTTGTCGTGGGTGCGGCGCTGGGCACGTCGGGGACGCTGCAGGGGACGGTGGGGCTCATCATTGCGCTCATTGCTCACAAGTGGGCTGAGGCCTTTGCCGTTGGCGTGCAGGTTGGTTCCTGATACGCCCCTGTTGTTGTTGTTGTTTTTTTTTTTTTTTTTTTTTTTTTTTTTTTCCCCTAGCAGCTGTCGTTGTTGTTAACAAGCAGCTGCCTGACTGTTATTCTCCCTTAGAGCCATCAGATTTCACTCGTTTAACCCCGTGCCACTGATCTCACATCTACAAACAACCCTCATACAAGGAATATTCCTTCCCTTCCCCCTTTCCCCACTATCACCTCTGCCTTGCCCCTCCCTCCTCTCACCCCCACTCCCCATCCTCTCCCCCTCATGTGCCAGTTTGTGAGGGAGAGTGTGTCGGTGCCCAAGATGGCGGCCATTCTGCTATTATACTGTGCCATGACGCCCACTGGCATTGTCGTAGGCATGCTTGCCAACTCCATCATCTCACCCCTCTTTCCCCGTTCTTCTCCCCGTGGGCCAGTTTGTGAGGGAGAGTGTGCCAGTGCCCAAGATGGCAGCCATTCTGCTGCTATACTGTGCCATGACACCCACTGGCATCGTCGTAGGCATGCTTGCCAACTCGCTTGCGGGCCCCCGAGCCATGCTCGTTGCTGTTGTCACACAAGCGTTCGGTGCAGGTATGGCCAGGGGTGGCAGCGTGGGTTGGCTTGGCTGTATGGCTTGACGTTACGCGATTACAATGCACATTGTCATTCTAGAGAGCTCCCTTCTCGCTACCGTTTGCTGATTCTTGCCTGGGATTCCTCCCATCTTGTTCCGCTTACCTTTCTCCTTGCTCCTCCTTTGCTACCCCCTTGCTGACACTTCAGGCACGGTTCTATACATTGCAATGTTGGAGCTTGTGGAGAAGCACTCAGGCGCCCAAGGGTCAAGCATACTGGATCTGTTGCTGCTGCTCGCAGGGGTGGGCATCATGGCAGCGGTCGCTGCCTTTGTATAAATTTGCAGAATCGAACACCAGGTTACATGTAGATGTGGAAGTCTTATTGTGGATGGAGCCAATTTGTGTGAATGGATTTATAAGTTGATGTAAAACCGGGACAGCCAGTGTAGACTCACCAGACCAGGAGCATCAAATATGTCGGTGATAATTTCTTTCCTGGCGGAGCGGCTTGTACTGCGGACAATCACATTGCCGTGTCAGCTTCGGCGCTTCCCAGCGTGTCAACGCGCAATCCTTGCCGCGTGTGCGCCATCTGCGACGAACCACCCCCTCAGCCGAACTCCACCTCAACAGGGTCGAATAGAAGAGATGGTACATTTCAACAAGCATACAGACATGCATAAACCCTTCCTAGAAGTGTCTTACTACCTCAAACATCAAAAGACCATCGCCAAAACCCGAAACAAAGTATTGCTTCCTAAGACATCTACAGCCGCATGTCGACCAAGTAGGGCACGTCCACCCATGGTGCTCCCTCTCCAAACTCCTGCTCCCCACTCCCTCGCTCCACCCACTCCGCCTCGGACTGACCCAACGTGTATGCCGCCCGCAAAAGAATCACCCGAGCCTGTGCCTTCTGCAAAGCTACCCCTACCGCGGCTGTTGGTTCCCGTGATTCCGTCGCCAACAACTTCGCGACAGCAGCTCCACCAACCCAGCACCACTGTTTAGAGTGCGAAGCTTCAATCTGCTGAGACGAATCTTCGCGAAGAATCGTTTATTCGGTAACGCGTTTTCGACACCGAACGGGCACATTCGGTGGGGATGCGGGGCAAGTCGGGTGCTGAAGCCCACCGCATGCATGGGCGCACATTTGGGATCTTGGATTATGCCATGCAAGATAAATAGAGACACAAGAAATTATAATTCTTTACCTAGGAACCAGTCGGAGCAACATTTAGCGAATTAGAGACGAGAAGCACAGCCAGCCACGCAGGTAGTGCCTAAGCGCTCTCCTGTCGCATTCCTTCCAGGCGACTCTTGAAGTCCCTGAAAGTCGCTTCAGCTGATTGACCAGCGACGTTGCGATTCTACCAGCTTCGCACGCATCCTGCGCTGTGCTCCCCCCCTACGTTTCTCCTTCTCCCTTCCCAAGCGGGGCTTCCTCGTCCAGTCTAGCCAGATGCTGCGTGTGTCCGCTCCTCCCTCGCGCTCTCTCCTCGCCCCGGAGTCGCTAACTACAGCAGCGAAGCTCACCGTCGTCGCGTCGCGATCTCTCTCCGCCTGGCAGCCCTACAGCGCAGCAGCAGCAGCACAGGAGCCTGCTAGTCGTCATCTGCACCGGAGCACCGGAGCTCCTTATTTTGCTCGTTCACCAGATCAATCGTCCAGTGCCGCAGCGACCGCGCCGCTTCGTCTAGCTCTCACCGGTTCCTCCTCCACTCCCTCCCTCGCTAGGTCTTCCTCCCTCTCCTCCTCTTCCTCCTACGCGCCTCGCTTCGCCTGTACTTTTGCGGTTGATTCTCGCGCTCGTTCCACTCTCCGCTCCGCTCCCCGTTCCGCCGTTCACCGCGCATCCGCCAGCGCCAGTACTACGGACTCCCCGCCCGCGCCCGCCATGGCCACCAAGTCCGCAAGAGCCGCGGAAGCGCTGCAACGCGTTAAGGATGCCGGCCTATTCCGCGACCAGTGCCTTATCGGGGACAGCTGGGTTGGACCTCGTGACACCGGCGCTACTATGGACGTAGTTAATCCCGCCACGGGGGACCTTATAACGCGTATCCCGAATCACGGGTACGACGAGACGCGCCAGGCCATCGCCGCCGCGTCTGCGGCCTTTCCTGGTTGGTCGTCGCGCACCGCGAAGGAGCGCGCCGCGGTGCTGCGCAAGTGGTACGATTTAATCATTGCGAACCGCGAGGAGCTCGCGCTGCTGATGACGCTGGAGCAGGGAAAGCCGTTGGCCGAGGCGCGCGGCGAGGTCGACTACTCCGCGGGATACGTGCAGCTCTACGCGGAAGAGGCGACGCGGACGTACGGCGATATTATCCCCGCGCCGCTGGCGGACAGGCGGATTCTGGTGCAGAAGCAGCCGGTGGGGGTAGTCGCAGTAATTACCCCGTGGAATTTCCCCCTCGCGATGATTGCGCGCAAGGTCGCGCCTGCGTTAGCGGCGGGCTGCACGGTTGTCGCGAAGCCATCGGAACTCACCCCGCTCTCCGCGTTCGCGCTCGCGGAGCTGGCGCTTAAGGCGGGCGTGCCGCACGGAGTGATTAACATCGTCGTAGGCGACGCGCCGCCGATTGGACAGGCGATCATGGAGAGTCCCGAGGTGCGAAAGCTTAGCTTCACCGGGTCTACCGCTGTAGGGCGGCGCCTCATGGCGGGCGCAGCGGCGACGGTGAAGCGGGTGTCTTTAGAACTCGGAGGCAACGCGCCGTTCATAGTCTTCGACGATGCTGACGTGGCGGTCGCCGTGAAAGGGCTGCTCGCGGCGAAGTTCCGGAACGCGGGGCAGACGTGCGTGTGCGCGAATCGCGTGCTGGTCCAGGAAGGAATCTACTCCGAATTCGTCTCTGCGGTCAAAACGGCCATGGAGCAGCAGTTAACCGTTGGATTCGGGCTTGAGGACGGGGTGACTCAAGGGCCGTTGATCAACCAAGCAGCCGTGGAGAAGGTACAGAGCCATGTAGCCGACGCGGTGAGCAGAGGAGGCAAGGTGCTGCTAGGAGGCTCCATAGCCCACCCGTCCTTCCTCTCCGCCCCGGCGGGTGAACTCCCAGAGAAGCTCCCTGGATGCTTCTTCCAGCCAACGCTCGTGGTAGATGTTCCTTCCGACTGCCTGTGCTTCCAGGAGGAAACATTTGGGCCGCTGGCCGCTGTTCACAAATTCTCCTCTGAAGCAGAAGCGCTGCGCATTGCGAATGATTCTGAGTTTGGGCTGGCTGCGTATGTGTACTCGCGGGACATGGGGCGGTGCTTCAGGGTGGCGGAGGGGTTGCAGGCGGGGATTGTGGGGGTGAATGAGAGTGCGATTAGCACTGAGGTGGCGCCGTTTGGAGGGGTGAAGCAGTCGGGCATGGGGCGCGAGGGGTCGCGGTATGGGCTGCAGGATTACATGGATTTGAAGTACGTGTGCCTGGGGAACCTGAAGTGAGAGGGAAGTGAGAGGGAAGGTGGATTGTGGATCGAGGGTTCTTGAGGCGGCGGCGGTGAGGCCGTGGGGTGTGCGTGGGTGGCGGTACGGGCTGCAGGATTACATGGATCTGAAGTATGTGTGCCTGGGGAACCTGAAGTGAGATGGGAACTTGAACTGAGAGGAGGGGACCCTGGAAGGAGCAGGAGGGGGGTGAGGGGTGGTTGCAGGATTTGGAAGTATGTGCGCCTGGGAATCTTGAAGCGAGAGGTGGGAGCTTGGAGAGGAGAGAGTGAGTGAGCTGAGGGGGATGTGTTGGGTGTGTGAGTGGGGGGGTCACTGGTTTCAGCGGTGTTAGGTGTGTGCGGCGACCAAGCTGTAGTGAATGTGTGGGCGTTGTGCTGGTGTGGTCGTGCAGGCAGATACGGGAGTGTTTGCACCATACCATTCCCTTGCTGCTGTGGAAATTGTGGTCGACTCCCTGTTGGTACTTGTAGCTCCCTGGCTTTTGTTCTCCATGGCTTGTGCTGTGAATCTTTTCATTGCTGTAGGTGTAGTTGCTGCTGGTACGCTACCTCCCTTGTTTCTCCACCTGTCAATGCATTCTAATGTACGTGTCAGGTGTTTCTCAGCATTTGCTGCCTGCAGCAGGGGTGCACGTACACATCTAGGGGGCAACTATCAGGTGCCAGACACAGGCTACCCCATAGCACTTTTAAAGTCCTATCCAGGCACGATTTTAAGAGTAGTAAAACATTATGCTTTATGGTCACTAAAACAAGCACTGGAGAGAGCAGGCATGTCCGGGAAGTCACATTCAAACTCATTTATCTCAGCTACAGCTAGCCACTACCCTGCACACATCAGAACTGCATCAGCACAGCCTACCTCAGACTAGCACCCTGCACATGTAGTTAATGCAAATCACCCACCTGTAACACGCCTAGCATGTACATCACATCTTTATTCACCGTATAGCAAACCAGCGACCGAGACAAGCCCGTGAGGCAACTCTACCCACTGCAGCGCTGCTCCTAAGCCAAACCAAGCCCCCTGTGAAGCCCCTTTCAAGCCCTTTCGTAATCCCTGACCGGCACTGTCAGTAGAGGGGTGCAATGCATGCAGGGATGGACGCTCACTTGGTGCCCTCCCCCTCAGGCCGCACCACAAGCACGGGCACTGGTGCATTGTGCACGCAATAGCTGGACACGCTGCCCAGGAGTTGGCTGTCGCGGGGAGAGAGGAGGGGAAGAGCAGGCGCGTGGGAGGGCAGGGAACGAAGAGATTCTGAGAAACGAGGTGGTAGCGGTGGTTACTTGAAGCAAGGAGAGAAATGAGACGCCGGCCATCCCCTCATTTCGACTGGTTCAAGGACAAGTTTTATCCAAAGTAAACAGGATTTCCACAGTCCACCCCTCGGTGTGCCTCCCTCTCCCATACTCCTTTCCAGTCCACTCAGAAGAAGGAACAGGCGGAAGTGTTCATTGTGTTTCTTCCATTCCTTTTGACTCACCGCGTGAGAAGGCCCAGCCCCCGCGAGCCCACCACCAGCAGGTCCGCGTTCAGCTCCCCCGCCTGCTCGCATATCACCGTGCGCGCATCGCCTATCTCCGCTCTGGTTTTCGCGGAGAACTGGTGCGGGCGGAGGGAGAAGCGGCGCATGGGCGGGAGAGTCAGGAGAGGATTACACGGGGAGTGGAGCGCGCTCCCCACATGAAATTCGCATGACGACTATTAGGATAGACTCGGATGGTAGCACGTGTACACGACTCACGAGAGGGGCGCGCACCTTATGGAATTCGCATGGCTGCTGGGAGATTTTGGGGCTCATCAAAGAGGAACGGTGCGCACCTTATGGGCCTCGCAAATCTCCTGGCATTTCTGCAGCGTTCTGCGGCTGAGGTTGCTGATGTGCGTGCGAATGGACTCCACCGTTTCCGGGTCCAGCGGGACTGCGATGGAGACAACCAGGGAACGCAAAACACAGGACGGCGAACCAGGGAAGAGACGAAAAAGAAAGAGGCACTCGTGGGAGTCAGATTATACGAGAGCTACAGGTTTACGGCCTGAGGCTTTGCGGCTGAGCAGGTTTACCGTCTTTAGCTACCATGCCCTGCACGAGGTCAGGCCTTGACTGCACGTTACTCGCTTACTTCCTTGGAATAAGTTATAACCGCTCACCTTCCTTGGCGACCATGCCCTGCACGAGGTCGGGCTGCGACTGCGCGTGTAGGATGACGACGCGGTCGCCCGCCCGGAGGAGGTGCTCCGTCGCCCACCGCACCGCGTTGTAGCTGTCCTCCGACGAGTCCACGGCGAATAGAATGGTTCGCGCCATAGTTTAGAAGCTTGACGATGAAATGTCGGTTTCGTCTTTCAGCCTTGCGTTTCGTTTTGTTTCTAGAAACTGGAATTCCTTTTCAGGTAAGGATAAGTTGAAAAACTGGAGGAACTTTAAAGACGAAGTATGTTAGAGGTGATAGTTTGCTGCGAGAGATAGAAGCAAGAAGTATGTTAGAGGTGATAGTTTGCTGCGAGAGATAGAAGCGTTATAGCGGCGTACTGGAACGGCGTGAAGGAGAACGCGTTGGTGAAAAGCTTGAGAACGAAATACGATTCTTGACGAAGCAAGAAAACCACGATATACACGAGCAAGCCAGCGAGAGAAGAGAAAGGGGAGAACATGGAGAGCAAAATGAGCCCCCCATTTCTCGGTCACGCGAGTGCAATGCTACGGCCACCATTTCTTGAAGCTGTGGCATGTCGCGCGTGCGATACACATGCCGTGTCGCGTGAAAACACTCGGTCACAAACTTCGCGTGTAACTTTATTCCAGAGGCTTATTTTATTTCTGCTTTCGTATTAGCAAAGCTGCCCTATGTTCTGGGCAGAGCTGTATCGTTGCGCAATTCGCCAGGCCGGGCTACGTGGGTTTCTCTGCCTCTGACGTGTAACCTCACACATGGCGACTGCTGCCTTATCGTTCTTGCTGACTCAGCCCATGTCAGGTCGATTCACTTGTCCAACTTAGCTGAAGGGTACAGCATCGTACATGATTATTGTCATCTGCATTTTTGCACTGGATTATTGTGATCCCGGTATTTTTAAAGCAACAGTATACTTTTGCAAGCAGTACTTTCAAAAACCTTAGGAACTTGAAAAACTGGTTACGCGATTACAACCCCTACCCCCCCGATTGACAGGCGAAGGGAGTCCCCAAACGCCCCACGTCCAGCTCCCCGCACTCAGAGTTCAAAACCTAAGGAATTGCAAAAGGAAACTGAAACTGCAGTAGTGAGAGGATAGCCCACACGCTCCTACATCGGTAGGATATTTCCCGTAGGCTAAGCAAGCTCGAAGGAGCTGATTGGGTTGTAAGGGGATAGAGAGGCACTGAGGCAAGCCGAGGGGGAAAATGAGCGAAAGGAGGGTGCGAAATAGGGGAAGCAGGTGGGGAAAGGAGGGGAAGCAGGGGGGGAAGGGAGGAGGAGCATGGAGGGAAAGGAGGGGAGGCAGGGGGGGAAAGGAAGGAAAGCCGTGGGGGAAAAGGGGGGAAGCAGAGGGGGAAAGGAAGTGAAGCGGGGGCGGAAAGGAGGTGAAGCAGGGGGGTAATGGAGGGGATGCAGGAGAGAAGAGGAGGACAAGCAAGGGAATCCAAGGAGGGGATGTAGGGGGGGAAAGGGGGGAAGCAAGAGGTGAAAGGAGGGGAAGCCATGGAGGAAAAGGGGGGAAGCAGGGGGCGAAAGGAGGGCAAGCAGGGGCGGATCGGAGGGGAAGCAGGTGGAGAAAGGACGGGAAGCAGGTGGAGAAAGGAGGGGATGCAGGGGGTAAAGGGAGGAGAAGCATGGGGGGAAAGGAGGGGAAGGAGAGGGGGGAACAAGGGGAAGCAGAGGGGGAAATATGGGGAAGGATAGAGTTCAGAACGATGGAAGCAAATGGGGAAACAAGGGGAAGGAGAGGGGGGAACGATGAGTAGCAGAGGGGGAAATGAAAGGGTAGAGAAGGGGGAACGAGGGGAAGCAGGTGGGGAAATAAGGGGAAGGAGAGAGGGGGAACGAGGGGGAGCAGAGGGGGAAATAAGGGGAAGGAGAGGGGGGAACGAGGGGGAGCAGAGGGGGAAATAAGGGGAAGGAGAGGGGGGAACGAGGGGGAGCAGAGGGGGAAATAAGGGGAAGGAGAGGGGGGAACGAGGGGGAGCAGAGGGGGAAATAAGGGGAAGGAGAGGGGGGAACGAGGGGGAGCAGAGGGGGAAACAAGGGGAAGGAGAGGGGGGAACGAGGGGGAGCAGGGGGCCTGATAAGGCCATGTCGCATACTTCGGGTGAAGGTTGGAGGGGGCAGAGACGGGAAGGGAAGGGAAAGGGGAAACAGTATCGCTTGAGTGCCGTAGCGATGGGCCGGGCGATACGAATGCGAGGGAGCGAGGGGGGAAAGTTTCTCGCTGACTCACCTTGAGCACGGGGGAGAGCTCCGGGGGAAGTGATAGGGCGAAGTGGGGAAATGGCGAAATGGCGTGCGAGGCTCGCGGTTCGCAGCGCGTGTGATGCGTTTAGGGACAAGCGAGCAGATGGAGACGCGTTCAGTTGGTGACGCGAGAAGCCGGCAGAACTGGGGGGGAGAAGTGGGGGAGAGCCGGTGGAAATGAGGGGGAGCAGCAAGGTAAATGAGAGGGAGAAGAGAGAGAAGTGAGGGGGAGCAGTGGGGGAAATAGAGCAATAAAGGAGATGAGAGGAAGAAGGGGGGCCAATGGGGAGGAGACGGGGTGGGGATGAAATGGATAAAGGGGGAAATTGAGAGGGAGTAGTAGGGGGAAGTGTGGAGGAGAAGTGGGGGAAATATCGAGGGAGCAGGGGGGGGAATGAGAGGAGGAAGGGGGGAAAATGTGAGGGAGAGAAGGGGGAAATGTGGAGTAGTGGGGGAAACTTGAGGGAGAAGGGGGGGAAATGAGGAGTAGTGGGGGAAATGTGAGGGAGAAGAGGGGGAAATGAGGGGTCCGGGGAATGGGGGTGGACGACGGGCTCCCCGCATTCATGGCGACACGCCCATTCAACGGTGGCATTTTGGCCTGCTCGACGAATGGGAGAGTGCGTTGCGGACAAAAGAGAGACGAATGCAGGACAAATGAGAGACGTGTGGCACGAATGAGTCGAATGAGAGACGCTTTTATTCGCATGAGACGAAGGAGAGACGAATGAGAGACGAATGAGAGACGAATGAGAGACGAATGAGGCGGCCGCCTCGCGGAGCGCAGCGTTTGAGGAGAATTAGACAGTCGCCCAGAGACGCGGGCAGCAGGTGAGGCCAGCAAAGGGTGAGCGTGAACACAATGACGTGCTAAGCAAGGCGTCCTATGGGTTACACGCGTTGCACTCGCCTGCGCGAAAACTTGAGAGGACTTGCAGTGGGTGAGGCGCTAAGCGGTGCGTCGGTAAGCGGTGGGGCGCTAAACGATGAGGCGCTATGCGGTGAGGCGCTTCGCGGTGAGGCGCTTCGCGGTGAGGCGCTTCGCAGTGGGGCGCGGAACCCGGTGAGGCGCGCAGCGGGGGATTAGGCGAGACGCGGGTCACGCGCTAAGAGGGTGGCGCGAGCTCCGGGTTTGGCGAGAATATCGCCGGCGAGGGCAACGCATCGAGGGCGGCGCGCGTTGCCGAAGGCTAGTAAAACATCTGTCGAAATAGCAGGCTAAAACGATAAACACGAAAGAGGAGTTTTCACTAGCATGCAGTAGAGTACATATAGCAAACCCTAATTCGGGCTGTACTCGCTACAGAGTACCCCACTGCAGGCTACAAACATCACATTCTGACACACCCCCATAGTCAAAGTGGGGTACAATCAGCACAGCAAGCACGCAGAGCAGTAGGTTCACAAATACAAGCAAAGCTAGAGGCAGTCACAGAGGGCAAGTGAGGAGGAGGAGGAACTGTGAGAGGAGTGGAGATAGGAGGCGTCTGGTGAAGCCGCAGACACACGGGCAACAGGAACGGCGCGCACGGTGGCTACCGAAGCACTCAACCTCCGGACTACAGGAGTAACTGGCTCCGCGCTAAGCAGCAGCAGGAGCAACAGACCCACGGGCGACTGGCAGCAGCAGGCTCGCTGGGCTACCGGAGTACTCAACCCCCGGACTACTGGCGCTGCAGACGTCACAACGGCCACCTCCTGTTAACCTCCCCCAACTGTCCCACACCCCTTTCACACACTCCCTGCTGAACCACTAGCACCGCTCACACGCCACCCCCCTCGTACCACTCCGACGGCTCCAACACATCCACCCCCCTCAGCGGCAGCTGCAGCAGTGGGAGACGGAGGAGGAGGAGGAGCAGGGGACGGCTCACACACCCGGCACCCCCATACTCTCCACCCCCAAACCCTAACACAGGAGCGCGGGCAGCAGCGGGGGTGGGGCGCGGTCAGAAGCTCGGGACGAACCGCACGCGGGCTGCCCGGGCCGCGCACGGGCCTGGCGCAGCCCGTACGGGCCGCGCGCGGGCTGTACGGGCCGCGCGCGGGCCTGGCGCAGCCCGTACGGGTCGCGCGCGGGCCTGGCGCAGATCGCGCGGGCCGCGCCGGGCGACGGGGGGCGACGCGACGGTCGACAGGGGGCGACGCGCGGTTCGACGGGGCAGAAACCCGCCGCGCGCCCCGAGCGCGCGGCGGGATGAAAAATCGCCGCGCGCCCGGAGCGCGCGGCAGGCAGGGGACAGCAGGAAACCGCAGCGGAAGCATTGGGTGGGGCCCACCCACAGGATCGACCCAGGAGGGTCGACCTGCTCTGATAGCATGTCGAAATAGCAGGCTAAAACGATAAACACGAAAGAGGAGTTTTCACTAGCATGCAGTAGAGTACATATAGCAAACCCTAATTCGGGCTGTACTCGCTACAGAGTACCCCACTGCAGGCTACACAAACATCACATTCTGACAACATCTATCGAGATGCCTTGGCAGGAGTCTATTCAATAATCGCGGCCGCCAGCCATGTGACTCGTGTCCCCTTACCTCCAGGGTTTTTTTCAGTGGGGGCGCTGCTCCTCGCGCCGATTAGTCGCCATTGGTATAGTTCTCTCCTGGCCTTTCCTATGGATTAGTCGCTTATCCTTCAGTGTGTGAGTGGCATTTCTATTCAATTTAGTTGCTTATCCTTCAGTGTGTGAGTGTCAAGCAGGGGTTGGGTGACGGGAGTGTTTCTCGTGTTCGCAACTACCAGGCCGCCAAATTTTCGCCCATCCTCTTCGCAAACCTCATTCCTTTTCGTTGGGGCTTGCTCTGGGTGGGCACTGTTCCACACCTACAGTACTTTCAAATGTATACCCTTGCTTTAAAACTTCCATGATTGTTCAACAATGTCAATGTGACACTACCTACTCACCACATACCGTACACTTATTACAAATGCAAATCCAAACCAATGCAATGCCGGTCATTGCATATACCATCGATCTATAGCATCTCTTAGGTACTCCTTTTTCCGACTTATCATAGACCAGGCGGGGTAGATTGTGGTGCAATGTGCTAATGACCCCATTATGAAGGCACCAAATTGCTGCCTCTCACGGAGCACGGAATGAATGCGCGTAAGCACCCGCTTGGAGTAAATCTGAATTGCGGCCAATTCCTGTGGTGTACACCTTGACTTTGCTCTTGTGAGGTCCCTAGCTGTTGTAGGCTCCGAGTCAAACACTTTATCGAGGCAGCTGAAGATGTTTGTAGTGGAAGATTGGTTCTGCCCACGGTTGGCGATTTCAATGGCTGCATAGTCGGCCACTGAGTTAACGATAAAAAGTGGTCTGGAGATGTAGAAGAGATTGAATTGTGGGAAGAAGCAGCGCCAGGGGCCCCGGGGATTGGCTGAGGGGCCAAGGGTACACGAGGCAGGGAGAAATGGGAAGAGAGTGAGAGAAAAGATGAAACGGGGTTGAGGAATAGGGAGCCAGCGCCTTAGAATTGTGTCATTTGTTGAGTCGGTACTGTCTACGGTGGTAATGAAGCGTTCAAAATGTACGAAATCCTGGTTCAGCCCATCGTCCAATTATCCCCTCTCACCGTTTTTGCAATCGGGATCCATTATAGAGTGATGCAGTTCCGTCATCCTCTTGGCCAGCGTACGGAAGTACATTTGCCCCGTTACATCAGAGCCATCTGACAGACAACCACGGCAACCAGCATATAACAGGGCGAACCGGTTAATGATGCTAAATTTTCCCGCCAACAAAACGCAGAAACAGAGCAGACACCACCCTTGCCAACGCCCCAAACCCCAATCCCCCAAGACCACAAAAACCCCGCGAGACACGCGCACGGTGCAGTGCAAGCAAGAGCATAGGGGGCACTACCAGGCTACCAGGGTCAAACCTCCCATCCCATAGGGCACACTGTCTAGCCGCATATGCCTGGCCTGCATATGCCTGGCCTGCATATGCCTGGCCTGCATATGCCTGGCTTGCATATATGCCTCACCCAGGAAGAAGCCTCCATCCATGAGGCACTTGACGTTGGCCCAGGGCAGCTGGTCCGCCACGATGTCGCATGTGTTGGACACCGCCTGGCCGCCCGCCGAGCACCCCGTGAACAGCACCCGCTTCGCCGTGCGCATTCCCCACCGCAGCTGCAGGTCTGGAAAAGGGGGTGGAGGAGGGGGAGGGCAGGGGGCGGGAGGTACGGTTGGGGGAAGTTTGCAGAGGAAAGAGGGGAGGGAGGGGGAGAGGGAAGAGAGGGGCGCGGGAAAGGGGGGGGGGAGAGGGGGGGATGTGGGGCAGATAGCACAGGCAGTAACTTGGCCTCCTTGGGATCACATCGTCTTCCCCACAGGACACTTCTCCAGTCAACCCAGCTCGCTCCACTCCCAACCCACCCACCTACCCATACACCCATGCACCCACCTTCAAGGACAGCTTGAAGGATCTTCGCGCCGTCAAGGTGCATGGAGAAGGTGTTGTTAACGCGTACAGCCCCGGCAGTGCCCGAGAAGCCCCCTCCGTCGCAGTAGAAGACGTTGACCACGTGCCAGTTGTAATACGACGGGTTCTCTGTCGCGTTGCGGCTCAGAATGCCCGTGAACGTGCTCCCATACTTCTGCAGCTGAATCGCGGATCGACGGGGGTAGGGGGATTGTGAGACGTCTTAGAAATCACCTCAGAATACCCATGAACGTGCTTCCATGCTTCTCCAGCTGCATCGCGGATCGAGGGCAGAAAGGCGGGGATGACGGGGGAAAGGACGAGAGAAGACATTGGGAAGTGGTGTACCAGGAGAGAGGCAGAGACGAAAACACGTAACGAGCTAGCTGAAATCGTAAAGGGGGTCTCACCGAGGCCTGGAATCATCATCGGGTCTCACCGAGGCTGAAATTTTAAAAGTGTCTCACCGAGGCTTGGAATCCCGGGTCGGTGGGGTGGCGCCAGAACTTGGACGATCCAAGCACGGTCTGCGTGCGTTCCGCGCACTGCGCCACGTTATGGCACCACCCGCCGCCCTGCAGGTATATTATAAAGCTCTTCCGCCCCGTGCCGTAGCCGCGGCGAATGTAGAACCCCGGCGGGCTGGTGCGCGGAGAGGGGGAGAGCGAGAGCGAGAGAGCGCGCGAGAGCGAGGGAGAGAAGAGGGAATGTGGGTTGGGAATGAAAATTTCGGAACGAACGAACGAGAAGGGATGACGAGGATCGAACGAGGTGCCATCATGTTTCACTAAACTGACTAGTAGACATGGTCTTGCTGCATTACACCTACCTTCCGTCCAGGCAACGCGCGCCGAACCGGTTCTGTCGCAGCAGCACCCGCACGATGTGCGCGGGCTTCCGCGGCATGCCGGGCGGAACCGCTTCTGCGGGGGGGAGCGCGCTCGCCACAGCCGCAGCGAGGAGCAACGCCGCAAGAAAGCGGCTTGAAATGAGCGCGGCGCGAGTCGTTTTTCGACGGTCATCCATTGTACGTGTCTTGAGAGGGGCACTGATTCCTAATACGAATAACGCGAATCGATCAGAGCGTCGAGCGGTAGCGAGAGAACGAGCGTTGCGCTTCGTCGTAAACTGCTTCCGCACCTTCGCAGCTCTGCAGCTTGTATACACCTGGCGGTTTATACTGGATTCACTGTTGAGAAATCTCGTACAAGGGCGGGGGTGGTCTCATGCTGCTGCATTTGCTGCGGTGGTCTAATCTAACGTGCGCAGGGGACGGCAGCAAGAACAGCTCAACGGCTGACGCGGCGGGTATTCTACTTCCGGTCCGGACAGTCTGCTTCAAAGCTCGCCGCCCTGCTGTGGAAGTAGTTTTACCATAAACGGGAGCGTCAACGTGTGAACGGGCATTACTTGACGTGTTGCGTGTGTTACTCTTCGGTTAGCAGAGGCGTCGTGTGTGTTTGTGCGAACGCTTGACCATGATGGCAGGATGGTACAGGGGCTGTAGACTGCCCCACTGTTCCAAGTTCTCTCAAAAGCCGTGGAGCACGTTTCTCATGCGTAAGGATTCAACAGAAACATGAGGGAGTCGGCGGAATGGAAGAAAATTGGGGACAAGCAGAGGTGACCAAAAAGAAAATGGGTCTCCCGCTGGGGGGGGAAGAGAGGGGCGATGCCGCGTCACAATTCAGAAGGGCGGAAATTGAAATGGCAACATTGCGGGAAGAGTTCCCCCACCTCGCCATTTGCGACTCGGCTGTGTTGCACTTGCCAGGCCCACCACTCATGACCGCTCGGCTCTCACCCAAACACCTACAAGGCAAGCGCGAGATGCGGAGAGTTTCGGAATGGCTGGTTACGCTGACATGGCATCATCGGCTCCACACGCCACAGCTCGCTGTGAAAAATCGACGGGCAGGATTCTGCACGTACCGTGCCTCTCGTTCCTTTGCTGCTGTATTGTATGCTTCATATTTGGGCATTTATCTTAGCAGTAACACTCATGGAGCTCGAACGCACTCAAGGTAAGCCATGTTTCCAAATCGTAACAGAGATGTCTTCTCATCGCCACCATGGTAACCAGCATTGCCGAGATGGTCAACATTATTGCCTGAATGGTAATGAACAGTGCATCCGGAAATCCTGACTGGTAACTTCGCGTTCCAACCAAACTGTACACCGTACAAGTCAGGTTTGACTCAGCAAAACGAAACTGAAGTCCACGTATACACCCACAGAATGCGCAATTCTGTTTATAATATCGACGTTTACAATCCCAGACCGTAAAACCTCGAAATGCAAACTTGTAATCCATAGCAAAAACAAAATTTGAAACTGCTGTACAGACAAGCATCAACTAAAAAATCTGAATTTTGGTTGAATAGCACCAGAACCAGGCCCTCAGAAGTCAGGAAAAAAAACGCTGATTTGCCCTTGAAAAACTTTTTTTCAGGGTTTTTTTGGGGCCTAAGGCTGATTGGAAAGTGTTTTTTTCCATGGAAGGACTGATTTTTCAGGCAAGTTATTTGTACCAACACTGAAATTTCAGGCAAGTTTCATGTACCAACACTGATTCGAAACAACACTAACGAACCGAGTTCTGTTGCTGAAAATGCGCGAATTCTTTGGAATTTGCCGAAAAATTCGCCAGTGACTCCGTGGCAACCCGCCAGCACACGGGATTCCCGGAACCGTCCCCTTCGGAAGTCCACATTCTATTGACTGGGCCATTTCAGCCTACATAACGGTCATTAATCTTAAATTACAGCTATAGAAAGTGTTTTTTTGTACCTTAACACTGATTTTTCAGGGTTTTTTTTGGACCCAACCCTGACAGAAAGTTTTTTTCCAGGGACCAACACTGACGAATCAGCGTGCCCCAAAACCAATCTGAGGGCCTGACCAGAACACAATCACTTACAACACCTTGTGCAATCACAATACCCTGACCTCTTTCCTCATAGCTTAATGGCACCACCGCTCGCTCAAAACACCAGTTCTGTCTCCTTCAGGCTTAGTACCTCCAGTCCCGTAGCTCTTGACCCTCCGGCCTCCATGGCAAGTCGACTCATCACCATTCCTCGATCATCCACATCACCATCTTCCTCCAACCCTGCCTTTTCGCATACCTCCATCGCCAGTCTCGCCCTCTTTATCTTCGTCCATCTTATGCACAACCATAAGCTCTCGCTCGCTCTCCTCGTCCAACCCTGTCATATCAACCCCCATATCACCCAACAAATCCGTATCCGGCCCTCCTTCCGGTAACAGCCAAAGAAACGCCATCGGCAGCAAGCGAAACAGATTCCGAAGCACCACGGCCAGCCAGAGCTGCTCGTAACTATCCTTTCTCACGCCCAGCAGATGCAGCATGAGTGCTCCTTGCCATGCCGCGCAATGCTCCCCAAACACCATGAGAGACATGCAGAAGGCAAAGAGAGTTGCCTCGATGCCGGGCGGGCAGAGGCGAGCAGCGAGAACGAGAATGGGCATGAGCTCTAGTCTTCGTACTGCGTCTGAGATTGCTGTGTCGCCCAGGACAAAGAAATGGTCGGGGATGCCCAGTGTGATGTTGACGCGCGTGATTATAACGAGGTCCAGGAAGCCGGTGACAAAGAGGAGCAGCTGGGGGGGTGGGGAGGGGAGGTGGTGGCAAGGGACAGGGAAGAGAATGAGAGAATGAGAGGAAGAGAAAGATGAGTGCATTCGGCATGTGGAGGGATATGGAAACAGGTCTAAGAGAGGAAAGGAGGAGAGCAGAGATGGCCGTGGAAAGAAAAGCTGAAGACAAAGTGATAACTGCAATGTGGTTGGTTGGTTGGTGCAACGTGCACTTCCAATAGCTCATGCTTGGTTGGGTGGGTGGCTGGGTGGGTGGGTGGGTAGCATTGGGGTGAAGAGTGCAGCTTTGCAGCACAGCATGAGGGTGAGAGACAGAAGAAGTGGGAGACGAGGGAGTTGTGGGAGAAGCATGGGATGGAGCAGAGCAGCGTTGGCATGGCAGGGGATGAGACTGTACGAGAGTGAAGAGCAGGAGCGTGCGGTAGGAGGCAGCTTTGAAGCAGCGGTGGTAGACGAAGACGCCAATGAGCAGTCCCACGCGCCCCATGGCGAACACCACGCCCATGAAGTCCTTGCTGAACCGCGGTCCCCCCTCCGCCTTGGTGTACCAGTAGATCAGCGCCGTCGGGATGTCCGGGGATATGCCCCCCTGGATAACAGAGGCGGGTGGGAGAGGGGGAGGCGGGAGGGGGAAGATGGTGTGGGCTTCAGCAACGGGGTGGGCAGCGGTGTGGGCCGGGGTGGGCAGCGGAAATGAGGCTGTGGGCAAGGATAAGGCTGCAGCAACGGGCGGCAATGAATGTAGCAAGAGTGAGGAGCGATGACTGTACAATTACGATGCACAATGATTTCAAACCTGACCTAACCCATCCCTCTTGCACTATCTGACGCCCTCTCACTCGCAAACGTTCTCACACCCCTCCATCAGCCACACCTCCCTCAGCCACACCTCCCTCAGCCACACCTCCCTCAGCCACACCTCCCTCAGCCACACCTCCCTCAGCCACACCTCCCTCAGCCACACCTCCACCACACGTGCCCATGTCTCACTCACATGCGACATGAAGAGGAAAATAGCCGCCCGCCACATGACTCGGTTGCGCAGCGTGCGCACAAACAGCCGCACAGACCGCCTCAACCTCCCCCACCCAGACTCCCCAACCTTACGCGCCGCCACTGGTGCTTCCGGCACCAGCAGCACCGTCACAAGCAGCGTAAACGGTGCCAGCGCGTAGAAAAAAAACGCCCCACGAGCCCCGAATGTGGAGACGATAGGGCCGCTGAGGGCGAACGCGAGGAGAGAGGAGAGAGCGAGGATGCCCCAGGGGAGGGCCTGTAAGTCGCTCGCGGGTTGCGGCTTGGTGCGGATTTTGGCTGCTACTAGCCCGTCTACTAGCACGTCTGCAAAGGCGGTTGAGAGGGTGGTGCCTGCTAGGAGGAGAGAGGCGAGGGTGGGGGGGAGCGAGGGGAGGAGGGCCACGAGCAGGCTGCAGAGGAGGCCGAGGAGGGCCGAGAGGAAGAGGTAGGGGCGCTGGCGGTAGCTGTGGGGGGGGGGAGGGGAGTGGGAATGGGGAGAGGGGAGGGGAGAGGAGAGGGAGAGGGAGAGGGGAGAGGAGGGGAGATTAGTTTCAGTGAGATAGGGGCGCTGGTGGGTTGCTGGAGGAAAGAGAAAGGGAGAGGGCACAGAAGGGAGAGAGGGAGAAAGAAGGGGTGAATTGAATATCAGTGAGATAAGGGCGCTGGCGGGTAGCTGGGTAAGGGACAGGGGTGAGGGAAACAAGGCGAGGCGAGAGGGGAGAGGAGAAATCAGGAACGACTCAGTCAATCTCATTCCACGCCTTACATCTCATCACTAATACCCCATGTCATCGGCCCCCTGCCCCATGCCCCCTGCCCGCTCCCCCCTGCCTGCCCCCTATCCATGGCCCATGGCCCTAACCCCCTGCATCCCCGTCCATGCCCCACTCACCCGCGGATGGGGAAGGAGTCAGAGATGAGGCCGTAGATGGGACGGAGATCCCACGGCACTGCCACCACTGCCTAGTGGGATGGGGGAAGGAACGGGAGTGAGGGAATGGGGGGAGGCAGGGAGAGAGCCGACAGTGGAAGGAGGGGGGGGGAGGGGGAGAATGAACTGGAGGAGGCATAATCACCTCCCCACCAGTCACATCCCCACATAGTCACATCCCCACATAGTCACATCCCCACATAGTCACATCCCCACATAGTCACATCCCCACATAGTCACACCCCCACAGAGTCACATCCCCACATAGTCACATCCCCACATAGTCACACCCCCACAAAGTCACATCCCCACATAGTCACATCCCCACCTGCACGTCCATCCAGTAGTATTGCGACTTGAAGTGGTAGAGCGCGCCCGCGTACCCCTCGCTCACGCCCGCATGGTAACACACCCACACACACACACACACTTCATCACTTCGTCACAACACCAACTCAGTAACAGCAACGAGACAGCGCCACAGCACCCGCAGAGCCACAGAACCCCTCGAGCCACAGACAGCAGCACCACACAGTCACAGAACACACAAAAACACACACACACACAGACCCATACACACACCATCACCACCACACCCACACCATGTAGGCCTGCGCAGAAGCGGGTTGCAGGCACTGCACGTCCATCCAGTAGTACTGCGACGCGAAGTGGTAGAGCGCGCCCGCGTACCCCTCGCTCACGCCGTACACCACGCCCACCAGCGCCACGAACGGCAGCCCGAACGACGCTACCAGCCCGCGCAGCCACGCGTGCAGCGCGACGAGCGGGTGGAGCGGCGCGAAGAGGACGGAGAGGAGGGTGAGCGACGCGGGGTTCGGAGCGGTGCGGGGTGGTGATGACGGGCGGAGGGAGACGGGCGATGCGCCATGGTGGGATGGGATTGGATGGGAAGTGGCGAGAGAGGTGGAAAGCGAGTGGGAAGGGTCCGTGCTCCGAGCATGCGAATCTGATAACAGCAGCATGTGAGCATCATGGTCGCCTTGATCCATCTCCTGTCCGCCAACTTCCGCCTTCTCCTCTCCGTCTCTCGCCGTGTTCTCCCCCCATTCCTCCGTACCACCCTCGCGTGTTTCCCGGCGAATTCCATTCTCCGAGTCCGTCCCTTCTCCTCTCCCAGTGATTCCGCCTTCCCCCATCACAGCTGTCGCGGAAGCTCCTTCCGCCAGTCGGATTCCCCTCGCGACTCGCATTTCCCCTCCCATCTCCGCCCTCCGCCTTTCCCCTTCCGCCATTCCCCCATCAGCTGCTCCCCCAGCCACGACCGGCGGCTCTACGCTTGGTCCCGTCCGCTCGATATTACCATCGAATTGCTCCGCTCTAGTCATTTCAAACGACTCTTTTTTTTTGCTGACGATTGATCTTGCACTGTCTTTCTTTTTCCGCGCTAATGTCGAGGAAGCGCGCGACTAGACCGAGACGGACGGACGCGGGAGCATGTCGCCAGACCCAGCGAATGTGCAGAGATGCATGCAGAAACGCGAACTGGAGATTTAACGGAATCAACGCTGTTTTAATGAGATCCCCGCCATCAGTCCTGAGTACACAGAGTGTTCCTCGTTCTTACGTCGCGGCATGATCATGGCATGTAATTAACATGGCCGCATTGCAAAGGCTTTCCACTATTCTTGAATACGGGAACTCGGAAAAGTACGCATTCTGAGAGCCACGGGGTTGCTGCTGCAGATAAGTCGGTGGGGTTCTGTTCTGCGTACTTATCAGGTTGGGATTCTCAGCAGGTCAACTATACAGTATAAGGGCGTATCAGTTCATTTAAAGAGGTTGACTGCGATGTTGTGTGTTCTAAAACAAAATGTATTTCCACCGCTTTGAACCGCAACAACCAGCCTGAACTCACTCATGAGCTGTCCATGACACGCATGTTCCGATGTACAGTACAGTACATTGAGATTTCAAATGTGGGCTTTGTTCTGTAGGAGGACTTGCCTCCGCACAAAATGTACGGGCCAGTATTTCGTAGAAGGTTCTTGTCGCACACAATCAAAATTTGCAGCGTGGATGTTGCTTCGAAGCCCCGCACAGCCAAATGCATTCCCGCAATTTGTTCCCGCATAACTTGTGCGCTGGCTGATGCTAGCTCTCGAGGGGGAATCAGGAGCGCAATAGTTGTGCGACCCTTTGCCCGGCGAAGAAACAACTTCGAACCAGCAGACGGTTCAATTTCTGCGCCCCAAAAGTGGTGTTCTGCAGGCTGAAGCGTCAAATTTGGCGCAAGTAGGTTTGGCAGGAAAGCTCGTATCACCAAACCTAGATAAGCAAATGATCACTTATCAATGAAGATTCTGCGGACCCAGATTCTGGAAATTGTCCGCCTGCAGAACAAAGCCGTGGTGTTGACGTCCCACATCCTACTACACTTGATGCCCCTTTCGCGCCCGTTCCTCATGTTGCAGTTTGCGCCTCTCACGAGCTCGTGGCTGGCTGGGGCGTTTTGGGCTTGTTTGGGGTACTGGGGTTTCGTTCCCCTATACAGTGTCGGGTTACCACCCGAAATCTGGTCAAGTTACAGCTGCTGGTCCGAATCGCACAGTGGATTTACAGGCAAAACAGGACTTCGTCGTGGGCCTGTCCCGAATGGGCCGTTTCCCGTGAATGACGACCACAGCTCCTGTGGAATGCCTGTGGGCCTCTTGAGAATGGGCGGTTGACTGTGCATCAAGTGTACCGTACTCCACCGTGAAAATCCATTCCGAAATTCCCAGCGAGAACGCCAAGCCCTAGCCCTCATGTTACCCTCGTCCCGCGTGGTCGCGCGATCGGCTCTCCCTGCCACGTCCGCACGCTCGATTCACGGAAAAATAGCGTCGGCACGCACACCCATGCGGAGTCGCCACAGATTAGCGAGGGCCGAGGGGTTTAGTATATCCTCTGTTGTATCCATTCCCGACGGTCTGATGAGATTCAACGTCATACTGCCGTTGGATCTGGATCCAGGTTGACGGGGAAGGGTTGAAGCGTGACAGACCACCTTGATTCCTTGGCGTACGAAGGGCGGCCGCCACGTCATTATCATCATCCAAATGGCCCACCTCGCACTGTAGCGTGTCCATGCTGTGCCCCTCTCACCGTCGAGGATTTGTCTACTCCCACTTGATTCTCACAGACCGTCGCATTCTCCTCCATCCTACTTCTCGTGTTCATCTCTTCCTCTCCCGCTCGTGATACGAAGCTACGAGATATTCGCCTTAAGCTGCCGAGCACACCGGCAGGTTCCGACTCGGAGCAAATCAGCAGGTGAAGCTGTGGAGGTCGAAGGATTAGCACTATCGTGACTGGATCTCGCAGTTGTGGTAGATTGCTCCGCGACGGGTACTGCACAAGCTCCACGCGTTCGTGTTGGTTTTCCTTGCTCTCATCGCCACGCACGTCAATCTTTCGGTGCGTTAGGTAGATTTCGCCACAGTCTACTTTCCCTGCAGGTGCTACTGCCGCTCGTCGCGGTCACCTTCGTCGTGTTAAGCTGAAGCGAGGCAGCTATCGTGGCCCTCACTATTCTTTGACCCGAACCCCTCACTTTTTCGTCTGTCCCCCTTTTGCCGTTGTTCCAGCACTCCAAAGGCTGCCGGAATGGCCACTGAGCCGAAGCTGTTTGGAGTGTCAGGAAGTGGATCCCAGTGGCGGGCTGTTATGTATCAGGGAGGCCGACAACTTATGCTCGGGACCAGGAACACCGCTGAGGAGGCTGCCAGGCTCTATGACAGGTGAGTCTTTTCTTTTGTTTGTGTTACATTTGAAGTTATCCGGTTGAGGCATTACTGCCTCTTGCAGCTCTTTATAGCACCTGCATCAACCGCACCTTCATCGTTCACACCAACCACTCAAATCTTTGCGAATCTCTTTTCCCGCCTTGTCTGCAGGGCGGTATACAAGTTAAGGGGACCCGAAGCTCCATTGAACTTTGGCCTCACGGATGAGCAGAAGGCTGAACTCGATGCCAAGTCGGAGCTTCAGTTCCGGGCCTCCATTGCCAAAGAAAACCTCCTGCTCAAGATGGGCCGCGGGACGTCGCGGTTCATAGGCGTCAGCTTGGTCAAGTCAAGTCAGAAATGGGAAGCGAACTTGCAAAAAGAGGGGAAAAAATCTAGGGTTGGCTTTTTTCTGACGGAGGAAGATGCAGCCCGGGCGTATGACGCGGCCGTCATTGAGAGAGATGGCCCGGATGCGATGACCAACGCCAGGTTCTTCAGTGGCGACTTCAGCAGCGTGGCTCCTGTGGGAAGCGCCCGCCCGCAGGTGGCCCGTGCCACGGGCAGCGGGAGGGCAGAGTCGCAGGGTAGTGGTGAGGGGGCGGGTTTGGAGCGGAAGACGCGAGGCAGTCGGGGCGGATCAGCAAAGCGACGCAAAGCAGGCAAGCCTGGAGTGGGTGGTTGGGATGGGGCCATCTCTGTGCTGGGGGCGTTGGAGATCTGTGCTTTGTCAAAGGTGAAATTGTGTCCTTGTCTGCCCTTAGTAACGTTTTTTTGAAATTTCGTGAGTCTTGAAGCAGTTCCTTTGTAATGCTTGCTTCTTACAGCACCAACAGTACGTGGAGCATTGTGTGAGCATCACATTTTCCAGCCCTGGGGGGCAATGCTCATGCTATTTGTATCCCCCTGGTCGTGCATTTTGTTGCTTTGCTGCAGATTCAGGTGAAGGGACTACGTCTGAAGAGGAGGAAGAGGAAGCTGAGGAGGAGGATGAAACAGAGGAGGAGACGGATGAGGAAGAAGAGTACGAAGAGGAGGACGAGGAGGAGGAAGAGGGAGGAGAGGAAGACGAGGAGGAGGAGGGGAGTGAAGGCGAGGGAGGGGAATCAGAGGAGAAGGGAAGTGATGAGGCCAAGGGGGAGGGTTGTGGGCACGCGGATGTGGGAACGGGTGATTCTGAAGACACCCAAATCCCCACGCCATGGGGTCCCGTGGACCTCGAATGCATGCCTGGTTGGATGATTTCTGCTTTGGAAGATTACGAAGAGGGACAGGAGGAGGAGGAGGAAGCGGAGGAGGAGGAGGAGGAGGAGGAGGAGGAGGAAGGAGAAGAGGGGGGAGGAGAGGAGGGAGGAGCAGGGGAAGCAGGAGCGAATCAGCCGACCGCAGCTCGCACCACCAAAACCAATGCGGAGGGTCGCAGCGGCAAGAAATCGCCATTCTCCTCCTTCCCATCGCATGCAATGCGCTGCTGCGACGACCCAGGCTACCAGCAGCGCGCCGCAGCGCGCAGGGAGAAAGCGAAGCAGGAAGCTCTGGAGCGACTTGTGTTCCAGCTGGGTCTGATGGCAGAGCTGGGGCTCATAAAGCCTCTGACCATCTCCACGGAACAGCTGCTGGCGAACTGGGGCTTGAGCCAGGCGCATGTTGATGCGTGGGATGAGGAGATGGGGCGGAAGAGGAAGGACAGGGGAGGGGGTGCCAGTGGTGGGGCGCCAGGGGGGATGGGGGTGGGAGGGAGTGGTGGGTCGGTGGGTGCTGGTGAAGGTGTGGGGGGTGCTGGTGAAGGAGTGGGGGGTGGTGAGGGGAATGCAGCAGGGGAGGGGAGCGGTAACAAGCGTAAAATTGGGCAAGCGGGTATCCTGGTGGGGGAAGAGAACAGGAGTGCGTTGAAGAGGTTCCATGACCGGGTGGAGGAGATGGTGGATCTGGAATGGAACGACCCCACTGCTTTCGCCAACGGTCGTAACTACGCCGATGCTGTTAAGGACAACGAGCGGTGGGGTAACACGCCGCGTAACACGGGGTTTCGCATTGGCCGGTGCTTGGACCCGTTTGCTCCTCTGAAGCCGGGAGAGATGCTTCCGGAGCATCTGAGGACGGACCTTACCCCGGGTGATCTGAGGCGCCGCAGGGAGGAGCTGTTTGGCCTGCAGGGCTTTGACTGGGGTGCGTTCCGGGAAGAGGCTGAGGAGGAGGTGAGGAGGAAGGGCGAGGAGGAGGAGAGGAGGAAGGCTGAGGGAGAGAGGGTTGAGAGAGAGGAGGTTGAGGGGGAGGAGGCTTCTGAGGGTGGTGGCGAGGCGGGTACTGCAGGCGAGGGGCCTGACTGGGCTGCACTGAGTGCGAGGGCGAGTGCAGTGATGGCACGGGCGAGGGAGGTGGGGAAGAGGATGGAAGGAGGTGGGGGGGTGGGGGGTAGTGGTGCTGGTGGTGGGTTCGGGGTGGAGGAGTGATGGGTGTGGGTGGGTGTGATTGCTGGATTCAGATGGTGCTTTCTGTTTTCTGGAGTTCCTTTCATGTGGTGGTACACTGATAGCAGCCCATCCATGCTCAATGCTTGTACATAGTTCTCTTGTGCTCAATCTCGAATTCTTTTTACACATGGATGTTTGCATGTCTTCACTTTCCAGACGCCACTGCCAGCATAGAAGCGGCTTGTACAAAGAGCTTCTATATGGATATGTACAGTTTCTTTTTACACACAGTTACGAATTTCTTGTAATCACGTCAGCTGGCTTCTAAATGTTATACGGAACTCATTGTCGACGGGATCACGAACTCATTGTTTTTGGGGGCATTGTTGAACTCATTGTTTCACTTTGTTAGGCGTGCCCTATGGCAATCGCAACCAGCCAGCTATTCCTGACTCGCGCCACATAGTCTTCGCTTCATATGTGTCTGCTTCTAATCTCAAGGCCTAGGAATCGCGACACGGGTTGTTTGCGTGCAACTGCAAGATTGGTCATGAGACTAGGTCCGGCTCGGTGCTGGATGTGGTTCGGATGGTAGTTTCGTCCGGGATCCGATGGTGGTCTCGTACAATCAGGCAACTAGATCCGACGGTTATCAAGCAGGTGAAGCTGCTGTCGTCGTGGGTCGGCCAAAGTCAACACCCCAACGCCACCACCGATCAGCGCAGGCTGGCAGTCGAATGAACCTTTCAGGTTCTCCTCCGCCGTCGCTAGATCACTTGTCAAACCAATGACGTGTCGTTTTCTGCTTCGTAAGCTCCAACCTTCAACACTTCGTCCACCCTGTCCACTACGTTGTGGGGTCACCTTGTCCTCCCTTGTGTTGCTTTCCTCCCGTCTGGTCTCCTTACGCCACTCATGAGCAGGTCGCACAGAAGGGAAGCTGGCAAGTCTAATGCGCAGACCTTGAAGCACTCCGTTTGTACCTAGTTCTCCTGTGAGTACTCTATTTCGGATCCTCCTCCTTGAAGCTACATCTCAACTGCTCGCCGCTCCTTAGACCATTATCTGCTCATTTTGCAGCTATAATCCTTTAGATTTCCAAGTTGGAGCCGTAATTTCCAACATGGAGTCTCACGCGAACATTAATATCCTACCAGACGACCTTCTTTTTACGATCTTGAGGCGGTCTTTTAAATCACCCGTTTCATGCGAGCCATACCTTGATAGCCTGTGGACTTCCTGTATTCTGCACTTATCCGAGGAAATGTCTGAAACAACTTTAAGGATCAATACGCCTATAGCAGCCCCCCCTACTGACTCAGACGTGGCTCAGATCCGCCTCATCGCGTCCATCTGCCAGCGTTGCCGTCGTCTGACGAGCCTTTACGTGACCACGCTGCTCGTCAGAGAAGACCTCCTTGTGTCGCAGAAAGATCTCTCAGCCGCCGTCGCGTGCTTCCCAAACCTCACCTGTCTGCATCTCAGCGACAACAGCTTTGAGTCGCTCGACGACACTTTCCTCGCCCACCTTGCTTCGTCATGCCCGAAGCTGACGAGTTTTCACGTGGGGAGGAGCTTTGCATGTCCATGGAACATGGATGACGACAATCTTTTTCTGGATGGCGAGTATCGGAGGATGGAAAGGCATCCGATGACTACAAATGGCCTGAATTCCTTCTTTTTGAAGCTTTCTAAGCTAGAGCAGCTTTCCCTATTCTGCCTCGACGAAAAAACAGAGTTACCAGATTCTGTCTTCCAACTGAGACAGCTACACACCCTTGTTGCCAATAATGCTTCAGCCTTGCAGAATCCCGGTTTCATTAACCATACTGCTCTTACCACCCTCTGTGTTACCTTTCGCATGAACCATGAGCACCTGTCCAGCCTCCTCCACCTCCCACGACTCGCTCATCTTTCCACCCTCGCCCCTCACCATAAGCCGAGGGGTGCTGCAAGCGTGTCACTGCCATCTTGCCTAAAGTCGCTCAATTTCGTAGTTGCCTGTCCTCGTTTAGACACCATCTTCCCATCATCTTTACCACTCACCGAGCTAGAGGAGCTGCTGATCACAAATTGCCGTGGACCCATGAGCCTTTTCGAACACATTGGAGACTTGCTGCCAGGCCTTCATAAGCTCACAATTCGCAAGTCTCATCATTTCACTCGCCTTTCTGAACGCTTCACTTCCCTGAGGCATTTGGAAACCCTCACCATCTCTGATTGTGACAGATTTACCTTACGAGGAAGCAACTTCGGTCACCTGCCTGCTCTCAAGCTGCTGGTTCTGGAAAATTTGAATATTACCAGACTCCCTCCTTCTTTTTGTCATCTCACTTCTCTTGAGGCACTTTTTCTTGAAACTTGCGATGCCCTTGTGCAGCTGCTTGCTAAACTCAGCCGCCTCACAGCCCTCAAGGCGCTCTCCTTGTCAAACATGCCGGCCATTACCGCCTTGCCCGAGAACATCGGGGCCCTTGCAAGTCTGGAGGCTCTCAGGTTGCATAATGGAATGCACATTCGGTCCCTTCCTGCATCCTTAAGCAGGCTGACTTCTCTGACGAGCCTGGAGCTGAATTATTTCTATGAAGTAGAGCTTCCAGAAGCATTGGGGGAACTGAGAAGCCTACGAGAGCTGAAGCTCGTTAGCCTTTCAAGGAGCGTGCTTCTGCATTCTCTGATATGGCTCACAAAACTTCAGACCTTGGAGGTCAGCTGCTGCCACTCACTCTCAGAAATACCCTTGAGGCTGGATACACTTGTGGGGCTTAAGAGGCTGGAGGTGACGTCATGTAGGCAATTGAACGGACCTCTTCCTGGTTTGCCACCCCTTCTTGAGACCCTCTGTTTGGGGCCCTTCATGGAAGGTTCTGTTCATGTTGTGGACCTCTCCAATCTGCCGCAGCTGAGGGTGCTGAAGCTGAACCGTGTTGGGGTGAGATGGGGGGCTGCAGTGAACAGGAGGTTGTGGTGCCAGGAGCAGTTGGAGCATGTGAATCGGCTGGAGCTGGAGCTGGATGAGCTCGAGCAGCTGGGGCAGCTAAAGTTGCTGGAGCAGTTGGAGATGCGTCTGGGCAGTGGCGATGCAGAGCTCCCAATCCCCTTGGTTTCCCTTCCTCGCCTGCGCACCTTGCTGATTGAGGCGCCGGGACTTTCGAGCCTCCCGGAAAACATGGCAGCAGCGTTGCCGGAGCTACGGCAGCTGGAGCTTCTTTCGTGGTCGCCGGAGGAGCTCCCAGGAAGCATCATGGAGCTCCCCTCGCTGACTTCACTCGAGATCCACGCTCCTCATCTTACTTCGCTCCCTCAAAGCATTGTTTCTCTGTCTCGCCTGCGCAAGCTGCAGCTGGCTCACTGTGAGGCCTTGGAGCGCCTCCCGGAATTTCTGACCCAGCTTGAACGCCTGCAACAACTGGTGTTACGTGACACCTCCATCACATCCCTTCCTGCTCAATTCGTGAGGCTGGAGGAAGACATGCCTTGACTCGGCTGCTTGCTTTCTGCTGGAGGTGCTGGAGTCTCTTCCGGCTTGAATCGGTTGAGGGGGTGCTGCGCTGCAGTATGTCGGACGCTGGCTGCTTGCAATGTCTCAGTGCTGGCTGATAGATCCTTGTTAGGGGAGGCTGTCTTGGAAGCTGGGCTGCACCAGTGAAGCTGGTGCTGTGCTGAGGAGGACTAAGGAAATGAGTAGGATGAACATTTTCACGATTTGTAGTGTGCTCTCTGATCTTTTACTGTGCTCTCTAATCTCTCTTGCCCTACACCCCTGTCTGTTGCATTGGATTGTTTGAAGTGTGTTTTTCATTTCCATTGTATGCATGGTCTTCAAGTAACCTTTTTTTTGCAATCAAGACTATTAAGGTTCAGGCTATCTTGTCAGAGTCTGAGCTTGTTCAACTGCTGGAATGATGCTAGTTACCCTATGACGAATGCGGTATTCCAATGACCGGGAGTATGGGGGGACGGGGATTGGGGGAGGGGAAGTTTTGGACAGAGCAATGTTGTGAAGGCGAGTCGTGGAATGGAAGGAGGGTGTTACGTAATAAGCCCGACAACAGTGCTTGACTAATGTGAAACTGCAGAAAACCTACTTTGACTTCATGACAACGAGCAGGGGTGTTTGGGGCTCCAATCGAAATTGCCTTCCCAACCTTATCCAAGCTGCAATCAGGTATGACGAATCATGGTACAGTATTTAGTATGGTGATGATGTGTGATGTTGTGCTGTGGTGTGGAGTATGCATGCGCACAGATTTGTGATTTGTATGATGGTTGGATGATGATGCATGCATGCGTGGATGGTCATGGGTGTATGGTCATGAATCTTAAGTTCTGCATTCTGATGTTTTTGATTCAAAGGTATTCATCCTATGCATTCTGACTTACATTTCTGAGATGATTCGAAAATGTGTGTTCTCAGAATCTAAGGATTGGATTCTCATTCCGACAAACGCATTCAAGAATATGCATCAATGCTGTTCATCCTGAGATATGCGTCCAAGAAGAAGGACTTCTAGGTATGCAACCTACAATATGCATTCCCAGGCATGCATTTCAAGAGTCGCATTCACCCTTCCCCACGCCCTTCCCTGCCAGGCGGGCCATTGCCTGCTCTTCCACCGACATCCTCCCCACTCAAATTTTCTTTTCCGTTCTCCCCTTACTCATCTCCACCTGTCCTCTGCTCTCCCCTCCTCCCTCCCTTCACTTCCTGGCCAGGTGAGTAATGCCTGCTCTTCCACCAACATCCTCGCTGTTCTATTTGTTTTCTCCCTCCTTCCCTGCTCTCCCCACTTGCTCTCACCCTTTTCCCTCCACCATTGCTTCCCCCCTTGCTCTTCCGGCCCTTTCTCTCCCCTCTCCTCTCCCTCCCTCCTTTCCCCACTCCCTTCCCCCACGCTCCTCCCACTAAGGTTGGCACCACCGTCTCTCCCACCAACACCCTCCCAACTCCAGTTGTTTCTCCCTACCCTCACTCTTCTCTCCACTTCCCGATTGCTCTCCTTCCTTCCTTCCTTCTCCCTCCATTCCCCCATCCCTTACCCCCATCTCCTTCCCCCCTTCTCTTCCCCCCTTCTCTTCCCCCCAGCCCTCCCCCTCCGTTTCCCCCACTTCTCTCTTCCCTACCCCTTCTCTTCCCTGCCATGTTGGTACCTCCTGCTCTTCCACCGATATCTATGCAAAGATTCTCGTCAGTCCTTTCCCCTTGTTCTTCTCATTTATCTTCTCCTTCCACACACTCTCCTCGCACTTCCGTTCCCAGTTGGCATTGCCTGCTCTTCCACCCACATCCTCCGTTCCTCCTCCCCTGCCCTTCCCTTCCCCATTCCCTCCAGGTTCGCATCGCCTGCTCTTCCACCGATATCCTCCGCCACTTTTGAGTAATCTCATCAGGTGTTTCAATGAGGGGATCTCCCGCGTGGTGCCAGGAAACAGCGCGACGTCAAACCACATGCCCAGGCTGGCAGCGCACGTGATTGGCAAAACGTGAGGCAGGTGTGGGTGGTTGGGTTGGGTCGGTGCCAATTTGCTGAAGGTGTTGGTGACTGGGGATACAGAATATGAAGCATTTGCTTGAAAGTTCTTAGGTGCATCAGTTTGGGCCTTTGTTTCTTGCAGATGTCTCTTTGCACTATTTGCTCCTTTCGGCAGCAGGAGAAGAACGCGGCAGCAAGAAGTATTCTGCATTCCCATCGCCTGCAATGCGCAGCTCTGATGACCCGGGGCATTGGCAGCGCGCAGCAGCGCCCAGGGAGAAGGCAAGGCAGGAAGCACTGGAGCGACTTGTGTTCCAGCTGGGTCTAATGGCTGAATTAGGGCTCATCAAGCCTCTGACCATCTCCACGGAGCAGCTCCTGGCGAATTGGGGTTTGAGCCAAGCGCATGTTGATGCGTGGGATGAGGAGATGGGGCGGAAGAGGAAGGACAGGGGAGGGGGTGCTACTAGTGGTGGGGCACAAGGGGGGATGGGGGTGGGAGGGAGTGGTGGGGCGGTGGGTGCTGGTGAAGGTGTGGGGGGTGCTGGTGAAGGAGTTGGGGGTGGTGGGGGAGATGCAGCAGGGGAGGGGAGCGGTAACAAGCGTAAGATTGGGCAAGCAGGCATTTTGGTGGGGGAAGAGAACAGGAGCGCGTTGAAGAGGTTCCGTGATCGAGTGGAGGAGATGGTAGATATGGAGTGGAACGACGCCACTGCTTTCGCCAACGGTCGTAACTACGCCGACGCTGTTAAGGACAACGAGCGGTGGGGTAACACGCCGCGTAACACCGGGTTTCGCATTGGCCGGTGCTTGGACCCGTTTGCTCCTCTCAAGCCCGGAGAGATGCTTCCAGAGCATCTGAGGACGGACCTTACCCCGGGTGATCTGAGGCGCCGCAGGGAAGAGCTGTTTGGGCTGCAGGGCTTTGACTGGGGCGCGTTCCGGGAAGAGGCTGAGGAGGAGGAGAGGAGGAAGGGCGAGGAGGAGGAGAGGAGGAAGACCGAGGGAGAGAGGGCTGAGCGAGAGGAGGTTGAGGGGGAGGAGGCTTCTGAGGGTGGTGGGGAGGCGGGTGAAGACGAGGGGCCTGACTGGGCTGCACTGAGTGCGAGGGCGAGTGCAGTGATGGCACGGGCGAGGGCGGTGGGGAAGAGGATGGAAGGAGGTGGGGGGTTGGGGGGTAGTGGTGCTGGTGGTGGGTTTGGGGTGGAGGAGTGATGGGTGTGGGTTGGTATGATTGCTGGATTCACAATGTTCTTTCTGTTTTCAGAACAAGATTCTTTCTCGAGGGTGGGCGTGGTGGTTGGTACGCTGGTGGCAGCCCATGCTCGACGCTTGTAAATATACCTCTTGTGCAGAATTCAATTTCTCTTTACGTGTGGATGTTAGCATCTCTTCACTTTCCTGGCCCCACTGCCAGCAAAGAACTACTTGTACTGTACAACTAGCCTCTTCATGGTATTGTACAATCTTTCTTGTTACATGTATGTTTCATACGAATATTTGTACAACTAGCTTCTCATATGGAGTAGGAATAGAAAACGATACAAGTACTAGTGCACTATGCCGGTACTTTTGACCGCTTGCTGAACTCATGGCAAACGTAATCTCTTGACTCGATATTTCTCCTGCCTGTCGCGAGCACGCGGAAACGGTCGCGGATTCGCCCGTGTTTTACTGTTTGAGCGCGTATGAACCTTTGAGGCCTTCGCCTCGTGAATTTCTGCTTCTGATCCCAAGACCCAGGAATCGCGACACGGATTGTTAGCGTGCAAACTAACAAAGATTGGTCATGAGACTCGGAGTCGCATCCTCGGTGCTAGATGTGGATCGGATGGTGGTCTCGTCCTCGATTAGAGCAACTGGATCCGACGGTTATCGAGCAGGTGACGCTGATGTCGTCGTGGATCAGCCAAAGTCAACACCCCAACGCCACCACCGATCACGTGTCATTTTCTGTTTCGTAAGCTCCAATCTTCAACACTTCGTCCACCCTGTCCACTACCTTGCGGGGTCACCTTGTCCTCCCTTGTGTTGCATTCCTCCCGTCAAGTCTCCTTTCGCCACTCGAGCAGATTGCAAAGAAGCAGGCAAGTCTACCGCGCAGATCTAGACCCACTCCGTTAGTTCCTAGTTTCCCCCAGAGTACGCTATTTCGGATCCCTCGTGAGGCTATTAGCCGCTTGCCGCTCCTTCATCATCTGCTGATTTCGCATCATCATCTGCAGTTTTTTTGTCTTCAAAGATTCCAGCATGGACCCGCACACCTCCAGCACGGAGCCTCACACGAGCATTAATAGCCTGCCGGCCGATCTTCTCTTTACGATCCTGAGGCGGTCCGTTGAACAACCCGTTTCATGCGAGTCCTACCTTGATAGCTTGTGGACCTGTCTTGAGCCGTTAGACGGAGCAGTTTACATCATAACTCTGAAAATCAGTACGCCGATAGCAGCCCCCTTTCCTGACGCAGACGTAGCTCAGATCCACTTCATCGAATCCATCTGCCAGCATTGGCGTCGTCTGGCGAAGCGTCAGGTGACGACGCTGCTCGTCAGAGAAGACCTCCTTGTATCGCGCGAGGATCTTTCAGTCACCGTCGCGTGCTTCCCGAACCCATCGCGGAAAAGGAAAACTGCGATTTTGGCCCCCCGAAGGTTTTTCTGCGAAAAAATTGCGGAAATGCTGCGCGAAGTTTCCAAAAAACAGCGCACGCAAAACTCAACATCCTGTACACCATTCGCGAACGATCTCACCGACGCAAAACTGTCACCCCAAAGTCGCTTTTCCGTCAACTTTATCGTGTCACTGGGTGTCGCGCGGTCGAGAGATTTTGAGGGCGGTTACGCAGAAAGAAAACATCAGCGACATGTAACTACAGAATTAACGAAAACGAACGAACCCCCGAACACCCCACGAAATCCAACGAGGTTGGAGAAGTGGATACAAAGTTTTCGTATGTTCTCGAATGTGAACCCAACCACCCAACCCAATGCACAGTGAGCATCTGGTTTCTTCAGAGGTGTGACGTGTGAGCCAAAATATCATTTTGAGCCAATCAGTGATTATGCTGTAAATAGAAAATCAAACCTCACCCGCCGAAATGTACACGTCAGCACACTCAACCAAACCATACCAAACGTCCACCAAGTACTGCGCTTCACTTCTCCCCTCTACGCCTCTATTCCTCGCGTACTAATGTCCACAACCAACCTTCTATTCCTCCCCCTTGATTTTTCTTCCCATTGTTCAGCAGAAGCGCACTCCTGGTTCCTATACCCTGCAAGTTAGTCCTCTACCTGATTAACTAGTCTAATATGCAACTTATACACCCTCGATTTCCCCCTTTCCTCCCGCTGTTGATGTTTGTGCAGATGTTTACTGACCCGGACGTCATTTTCTCAGCTCGCTACGCTACGCCACCTGTCGGGCAGCCGCGGTTAATGCTTATAGATAAGTTAAGGAAGCGACGGCTTCGACGATTCTCTGCCGTGTCGCCTACTCGAAATGTGTAAGTTTCTGATACGATTCTCTGCACTTCTGTGTTCGTTATTTCATGGCCTCCAACATTCTCTGAACATTTTCATCGTTGCTACTCATTTAGAGGCCATGTTGAGTGCAGTTTGTCATCCATACGCATGAATGTCCACATGCCTCGTCAGAGCCTCATTCTGGACTTTTCCCCTTTCTTTTGACCTACCATTCCGCTTTCCAGGTCGACGAATTTCAGTGTTTCCGCGGATGGTTTGCGCGCAAGTAGTGACGCTTAGGCGCCATGCCGGCAGCTACTTCGTCTTTACGATTCGGAAGGTATTTGTATCTCAGGTGAGGTATACGTTTTTTAAACCATGCGATGTACTGTCCTATGTTTCTTGTTCGAATGTATGTTATCTTGACACTTCATGGTACTGCCATTTGTCCGCTTCATGTTTCCTTTTACTTTCCTACGATTTCATCAATTTCCTTTATTATGAGAATAACACTGCAGCATCTCACTCGTCGCCATGCGTAACCACCGTGGTAAGGGCCGCCTAAACCGACGATGCTTCTGGTGTATGGCGAAGTGGTAATCACTTGGCCCACTGAGCATTCTATGCGACGTGCAGTACGGCAACAATTTCTTTTGCAGGTTCCGTTACTAGCATGGCTTACCCATTGGTTTTTTTGCAGGGTTATCAATGTCGCGAAGCAATTTCTGCATGTTTCAGACCCCAATGGAGTCATCGGGTGAGTGAAATTGCGTACTTGCTTTTCAGTTTTCACTAACTTAAACCTTCCTACGGTTTCTTCCAGGCAATTTCAAGAGCAGCAGCACCAGGTTCATGGTTTCTACTAGCAGGGTTCGCTGTGATTGTTAGGTGTGCTTTAGGTTAGTGAATCTAGGTGGCTTGGGTTGATTGTAACACTTCATTGTTTCTGTATGGTAATGTTAAATTTGAGAAGGTTTTGCATATTCTCTGCTTTACGCACACCTAGAAATTAACCGTGTAATGAACCGTGGCAGGGAAATATTTTTTCGAAACAACAGCCAATAGGAAGCCGTTGTCGCACACCAATTAATGCTCTCTCATTGTTCCACAAGACACTCTTACGTGCGTCGATTTTAATCTGATCCGACAGTTGTCGATAGCGTACGCAAAGGCCACGTCAGCGTGTTTCAGTTTCAGCTCGTCCACGTCGTACGCCACGTGGCGGTGTCGAGGCATGTTCGCCGAGGTTGCTCAAAAGTGACGGTAAGCAACTCGCAGGTTGCTTTACTGTATACCTTACAGTTGGGTCAATGTGCACAGTTTGTGCCGTGAAAGTGACGGGAAAGTCACTTTGCAAGTAACTTGAGCTACCACTGTTTTTTACTAAGACTTTTTTTTTTGCGAGCGCAATGCAACGGAAAAGTTACGGGGCAGTAACTTTTCAGTTGCTTTTCGCCCTTCCCTTTTCCGCGATGCCTTACCCACCTGCATCTCAGCGACAACAGCTTTGCGTCGCTCGACGACGCATTCCTTGATCGCCTCGCTTCTTCATGCCCGAAGCTGACGAGTTTTCATGCGGGGAGACGCGTTGCACGTCGATGGGTCTGCGAAGAAGATCTTCGTCCTGTTAACCAGTATGGGAGGAGGGAGAGGGATCCGATAACCACAGGTGGCTTGGATTTGTTTGTCGTGAGGCTTCCTAACTTAGAGCAGCTCTCCCTATTCTGTCTCCACCAATCAATAGAATTGCCGGATTCTCTCTTCCAGCTGAGACACCTACACACCCTTGTGGTGAATAACGCCTCAGCCTTGCAGAATCCCGGTTTCACAGACCTCACTGCTCTCACCACCCTCTGTTTTACCTTTCCCATGAACCATCTGCACCTGTCCACCCTCCTCCACCTCCCACGGCTCGCCCATCTTTCCACCCTGGCCCCTCACCATAACCATCAGCCGGAGGGTGCTGGAATCGTGACGCTGCCACCTTGCCTTAAGACGCTCAATTTCTTACTTTCCTGTCCTCATTTGGACCGTATCTTCCCACCATCATCACCACTCACAGAGCTAGAGGAGCTGCTGATCACCAACGGTAGTGAACCCATGAGCCTTCCCGAACACATTGGAGACGTGCTGCCGCGCCTTCGAAAGTTGACCATTCGGAATTGCCATCAGTTTAATCGCTTGCCTGAAAGCATCACTTCCCTGAGGTGGTTGGGAACCCTCATCGTCTCTCAATGTGAGAATTTTACTTTACGGGGCAGCAACTTCGGTCACTTGCCTGCCCTCAAACTGCTGGTTCTAGAAGGAGTGGGTTTCACCCGGCTCCCGCCTTCCTTTTGTCATCTCACGTCTCTTGAGGCCCTTTTTTTGAATAGCAGTGTGATTAAAAAGCTGCCTGCAAATTTCTGCCGCCTCACGGCTCTCAAGGCGCTCTGCTTGTCAAACTTGCTGGACCTTAAAGCCTTGCCGGGGGACCTTGGGGCCCTCGCAAACTTGGAGGCTCTCAAAGTGTATAATGCAATCCTCTTTCAGCCATTCCCGGCTTCCTTCACCAAGCTAACATCTTTGAAGAGCCTTGAGCTGTGTGATTGTTTTCGAGGCCAGCTTCCGAAAGCCTTGGGAGAGCTGGGCAGCCTGCAGGAGCTGAAGCTCTCTTTCCTTTTAATTAGCGTGCTTCCCGTCTCCCTGCTACGGCTTACGCGACTTCAGACCTTGGAGGTCAGAGACTGTGAATCACTCTCAGAAGTACCTGCCAGGCTGGATACGCTCGTGGGGCTTAAGAGGCTGGAGGTGACGTCATGTAGTCAATTGAGCGGACCTCTTCCTGGTTTGCCACCCCTTCTTGAGACCCTCTGTTTGGGGCCCTTTAAGAAA